GGGAACACACATCTGTAACTCCAGCACTATTACAAGTTTGAATCCCACATGGGCAACTTAGCAAAACTCTGTCTCAACATTTAAAAAACTAACCGTAAGAGCTAGGGATGGATCTCAATTGATATAGAACCCCTAAGTTCAATCTCTTGTACTGCAAAATATAAAAATAAAATACAATAAAGCCCTGTGGCTAAAATGAAGGAAAGAGCTGAAAACCAAATGTAGGGCAGAGAGGCACTGAAGAACGGACACATCTTATCTTACTATACTATGTCACAGCCTACACATCACTAAATCTTCAATTTGCTACACAAACCAACTTACTGTGCAATGACGTCTCTCCCTTTAATTATCTGCTTGATAGCTCGCTGCTGGATTGCTGATGGTTTTTCAAAACCTGCAAACAACAAATACTGAGCTCTTAGCACTGTGCTAGCATTAAAACCAGGTACAGATGGTTTACTGTAAATGGCCAAGCTCTGCCAACCTACACTCCCACTGCCTAACCCAAAGCTCAACATAGAAAGCACTCAGACACAAGAGCCCAGTGAATCATCATTCTCACTAGCACGGGATACTATCTGTAAAGATAAAATCTCAACAAAAGGAGTATCATGTTTAGCATATGGAGACCCCAGTTTTGTTTAAAAGAGAAAAAAAAATTTAGGAGCATACAGGATGTGGAAGCACAGGCACCAATATGTTACTGGCAGTTACTCCTGGAGAGTCAGGTGACAAAAACATCACTTTTTACTCTATTTCTGTGCCCTTTAGCTAATTACAAACGGCTTAATTACTTTTTAACCTTAAAAAAGGTATCAGTATGGTTACCACTCTTTCCTAGGTAAGCATTACGATCCTGGGCTGCCATGCCTACTGCATATTCAGCCTGCACAGGTCATGCTGTGGAGGGTCCGGCCCTGTCCTCCTATCTGGAGGCAGCTATGTTAACCACAGTACCACCGCTCCTGCCCAGCAATTACCACCAAGGAATGAAGCTACTCTGAAGAACTAAAAGTATTTTCCAAGCAGGCAAATAAAGTTTTATGTGCATAAGCTGTAACTTCTTTATCCTTCAGTCTTTAAAAATGTAGCACAATTTCCTATCACAAAAGTAAATATAACATAATTTAAACTCACGAAGACAAGCATGTGGGTGGGAAACTAATAACTGTGTTTTAGGGAGAGAGGCAATGTGGACCAAGAACGGCCCAGTTTTGAGGCTTTTCTTTCCTCTCCCGTCCCTCAACAACTTCTTTTCACTGGCTAAACTGTCCTGACACCAAGGTTTGTTGGATAAAGGACTTCCCAGTCCCAGTAACCTGAGTAACCTCACATGCTGGCATTCCCCTCTATACATCCTCAATTACCATCTTCCCTGGGATCCCAACTTGACAGGCAGCTTTCTCCGACAACCCCACAAACCTTCAGAAGGACCAAGACAGAGCTCCCAATTTTATTTCCCTCCAGTGCTGCCAGCTAAGCAGTGCTCACCAGATTGCATAAGGGACCCAAAACTCACCCTCTGGTCCTCCTTCCGCCCATCAGCCAACCCTGTGAGTTCTACAGTACACTGTCTCCCCTGAATCATCTCTGATCAGAGCAAAAGCCTCCCAACTCATCTCCCTGACTTTTCTCCCGCTTCACCTCACCTGGAACCAACAGACGCCAAAAGAAACCTTGAATCTGTAAACCTTTACGACTAAAACACTACAATGATTTCCCACTGCACTTAAAAATCTTTAACACTATCTCACCAAACTGGCCACTAGGCTCCGTCCAGGCTCAGACTGAGGTTCTTTCTATTCCTGGAACACACTAGGCTAAAGGGCCGCAAGGCCCAGGCTCTTCCCTCTTCTCATTATCAGCTCAACGTTATCCTCCTTGGGGACCCCCTTACCCATTTCAGCTCTCTCCTCCTCAAATAACCATTCCATTCTATAATACCCCTTTCACGTTTTTCAAACCAACTCCCACTGCCTGCAGCAACCGTGGTTTTATGCTGTCCGCCTCCTAAGTAAGGGCACCACCCTGCCTAGCTTACCGATACACCACCACTTGGGCGCCTCACAAGTACAAAACAGTTATCTGCTGAATGACGGACTCCGGAAGGCCTGTAAGAACTCGCAGCCCCACTGGACCTGGCACTATGCTCTACACCGAGCAATACCGGACAACTGCCCACAAACCAGGTGCGGCGATAGGGTGCCAGTGTCGGGGACCGCACGTCGTCGGAGTCCCGAGCCTGAGCCTCAGCCTCCGACGCAGGCCCCGGGGCCCACTACCCGCGCCACCCGGCCCGCGCTCTCCGACCGTAGGCGTAGATGCCGCGCAGCAGGTCCTCCCGCAGGCCCATGGTGTCGAACGTGGGGGTCACGTCCACCTCCTCGCTGGTTTCGAACTCCACTTTGGTCATGTCCTCTTCTTTGAGCAAGCGCTTCCGCGCCGACCCAGAAGTCGCCATCGTGGCCGTAGCCGCCATGATCCCGACTCTGCTGAGAGCTGAGCGCGCGCCGCAGTTAGGAGCGGAAGTAGACCCCGCCGAAGTCGCGCCGTCGAGCGGAAGTGACGATGCCACGCGCGCCAGTGTAGGACGAATGGGAACGCGGATGAGGGTCCAGGCCGCGCCTCCGGAGGGGCGGGTTGTTCCTAATCACGTGAAAGCGGAAAGGGCGTCTGCTGCAGGGTTGCCGTTCTCGCGCCTTGTGGAACTCTCGCGGGATTCCGTAAGGCCGGGTCCTCATACTCTCATGATGCCTGTGGCTACAGCGAATGTGAGTGTCTCGTTGTGGGTGGGCTCCTGTAGCTGGACTTGTCTACGCAGAGTGGTGAATTGGGGTCCCGGGGAACCAGCGGACGGCGAGCAGCGGGCGTGAACTCGCACTACATGCCCGGGTGCTGCCGCTGGCCGCGGAAACCTCATTTCCGGCAGCCGCCTCCAGGGGTCGGGGTGCCCGCACGCTGCTGCGCAGCTCCGCCTGCGTTGCCGTGGTAACCGCGGCGCTTGGCAGTTCAGGTTGTTGCTAATCCTGGATCTGCGTGGACGCCGGGAACCCGCCCACAAAACGGCTTGACCTTTGCAGTTGGCTGATCCCTAAACCCTGAAATTCTGCGAAGCTGTGCGTGAACTCGGACTAGGTTTGCTGGTCTCGAGTTTCAATCTTCCTGCCTCATCCTCTAGCTGTGGGCCTCCACGCCCGGCTCCTATAAAGCCTTTGACTCATTCATCTTCGACATCCTTGAAACGCAGTTCACTTTGGAGAATCATGTTTTCACCTTTGGCAAAGTTATACTGGACAAGGACCAGCTCGGTCCTTACTTACAGTTGGCCTTTATCTTTTTGCTCTCTCTCTTTGATGGGGTGGGGCCTGCGCTTGCTAAGCAAGTGCGTCACCCTGGAGCCACACCTCCAGCCCTAAGAAGCATATCTTTGCTCCCTGGCCTCTGTCTAGGGGTTCTGGGGAGGACTGACTTTGCAAACGTTTAGTTAAAATGTGATCATCATTTTATAGAGGAATCTTGGGTTTCAGTATGGCCACGGTGAACAAGTAAATGTGTCTTCTCAGCGAGGAAAGCTCCCATTTAGGGGCGGAATTTGTCCACACCAGGTAAGTGTCATGGTAAACATGCCTGTTGAGGATGCCGCTGTTAGTCATAATATTAAATATTTAGCCAGGTGTGGTGCCTGGTACCTGCAATCTCAGCACTCTGGGAGGCTGAGGCAGAAGGATGAAAAGTACAAGTTGCAGGGCCGGGGATTTAGCTCAGTGGTTCCGCCGCCTGCCTCGCAAACGCAAGATCCTGAGTTCGATCCCCGATACCAAAGGGGAAAAAAAAGTTCAAGTTGCGTTTTAAGTCACTAAAATAATAGAAAAGCCTGAGAATGTAGTTAAGTGTGAAGCTGTGGGTTCAATCCCCGGTACCAACACCAAAGCTGAGGCTTTCTTAGACTTTAGAATAAATGCAAGGTAAATACAGGTTCTTGTGTCACTCAGCAAAGGATTGAATACATCGCATTGTTTTTCAAGTGAACCTTAGGTGTAAAACCCAGATTTCAGGGACTTAACGTGGGGCTGGAGGTGTGGTTCAGTGATGAGTTCCTGCCTAGCATGCATGAGGGGCTGGATATCATCCCCAGCACCACAAATGATGATGGTGATTTCATATTAACTACTCAAGGTTCACAAGTTTGAAGCCAGCCTGAGCAATTTACATCCTATCTCCAAAAAGTGCTGGGCATGTAGCCAAGTGACAGAGTGCTCTCCTAGCATGTGCAAGACCCTGGATTCAATCCCCGGGACCAAGTATAATAATGTTCTGTTGATGGTGTTGAAATGATGTTAATAACGTTTTAGAAATACGGGTTAAAATAAAGCATTTAAATTTCACCTGTTTGTTTTTCTGAACTGTAGCTGTTAGGAAACTGTTTAATTATGTTCCCATAGACTCAGGAGGGTTAGAAGACCCTCATTTTGTTTTGTTGCTAGTAGGCAGTTGTACTCTAGTCAGTGGGGGCTACTGAGAAAACGCATTGATTCCTTGCCCTGTTTAAGATATTTCTTTTGTGTAGCTGTGTTGCTTAATGCGAGGATTGACTGTCTCATTCCAAGACGCTGCCATGTCAGTTTCAGTTCTCTAAGCATCATCATCCTGGGAGGGCGCAGACACACATTATCATTTTACTGATGGAAAAAATCAGGCCGTTCCACTCAGTTCAAGTACCCTTCATTGAGGGGCTGAAATGGGCCCTTCTAAGTCCCCTGTACAGTGGCTTCCCGCTGCTTGTCATCCCTGGGCCCCTTGTTACCTCGAGAGAGGCCTGATCGCCAAGGTGGGCAGGCCCATTGCCCTCCTCCTTAGCACAGTTTGTCACCAGCACCCCACTTCCCAGTTTACATTGTGGGGTGCAGCCACGTCTCTTTATTTCCTCACTGTTTCTCTGACACATCGTGGGTGTTCAGTAGATAGTTGTCGTCTTGCTCATTTGCGTGGACACCCAGGGCAAGAGGAAGGGACTCAAGACATGGTCCCAGCTGGGCAGGAGCAGTCGTGAGCTCCCAGGGCAGCTGTCAGGGAGAAGGAACCACTGTGCCGCCCACACCTCTCAGGACCATGCCTCCCTCTCCTGGCACCCATGGGGCTCCTAGGTAGGGGTGAGAGGGTCATGGTGACTTGTCTTGTGTGGGAGTGAAGGAGGTTCAGGCAGTGCCGCTTGGCTGTACTCCAAGGAGTCATCGCCACAGGAGCAGATGTCCTGGAAGGGCCTGTCCCTAAAGGACAACTTCCTGCCAGAGGTCCCTGGCCATCACCATGTGTCAAAGGGTGAACCAACCCTGTTCCTTTCTAGCTACAGCATTCTCCAAAGCCAACCATGAGGCGGGTCATCTTACTAAGTGCCACTGACCCCGCCTCGCTGTCGTTCTGACTCCTGGACACTCGTGCCAGCTGGGGTCCCGCACCCCGGTGTGTGAGGAGTTGTTCCAGCTGCTGGATTTAGGGGAGCACAGATGCAGCACCTGCCCTCGCAGAGTTTGTGTTCCAGAGGAGGGCAAGCCCCACAAAACCTGCAAACAAAATCATTTTAAGCTGTATAATTATCATGATGCAATGAGGTAAGGCAAACTGGAAAGAGTTACTGGATTCTGATTTACCCCATGGCCGGAGGAGGAGTCAGCTGAGTTGAGAAGAAGTGGCCACAGTGACAGGCAACGGGAGGCGTGTTCGAGAAGGGACAGTGCGTGCAGGGTTCTGCGATCACGAGGGACAGAGCAGTGGGCAGGATGCTCAGGGAATGGGGAAGCCGCAGGGCGACTGTCAGCTGGTCAGCAAGCCCGAGCAGTACGGGTGCCTGGTGCTGGTGGCAGCATTGTCCACACGAGCCCATCGGCCACCAAACACGAAGCGAAATAGCATGAGGCCGTAAACAGGGACTAAGCAGGGACACAACTATAACATGGAGAAACCTGGAAAACAGCTTGCTCTGCAGAAGAAGCCAGACTGAAAAGGTTACAAATTATACGGCCCCAGCCTACATGAATCCTGCAGCACAGGCAGCCTCCCCACTCCAGACAGAAAACAGATGGGTAAATGCCATGGAGCGGACCCAACCCACACCTCAGGCCCAGGGCTGCTAGTGGGGGGTGACATTTCCCTTAGGGGTGATGAAAATGTTGGGGAAGAAGGTCAAAGTGGAGGTTCTACCCCATGTGAATGAACTAAGTGCCACAGAATTGTGCGCTTTAAAGTGGTTTCTATTCTGGCGTGTGAATCCCATCACAGTTCAGGAAGAGATAGGAGGTGCGACTTGGCCGGACAAATGCAAGGTGTGGTGGGGTGGGAGGCGAGTGTGTAAGCTGGGCACAGCAGCAGGGAACGGACCTGTTTTACCTGCTCCTGTGGAAGGATCCTCTTCCAGTCCTTCCCCAGCCCACTCCCTGCACGCTGCCGCCAGAGATGAGCATGGGGCGGTGTGCACAGCCACAGAGCCACACCTGGCCATGCCCACTCGGGGCTCCAGCAGGGACACCGAGAACCCAGTTAGGATGTCTTGGAGGAGGTCCTGCGGTCCTCCTCTGACCAGGACGACTGTGACCAGCCGGAGCCCTTCCTGCTTGTGCCACCTCAGTCCTTACTTGGCACCTGTGCCCTCCCCGCCCGGTGCCTCCATCTCCTTTCCTCAGCTGCGGTCCTTTGGTACAGGTCTCATTTTTCCTCCCAGCGCCCCTTTTCTGTTTACCTCTCCACTGGTGCAAGCCTCCTGGTGTCACGGCAAAACTGGAACCTTTCCCCAAGCCCCCAGATTTTCTCCCGCACTTGTTAGTGCAGATTACTTACCCTGATTGACGAATTTCATTTTGGCAGATTTATACATGCATGTAACATACTGTATTCATTTCTCCCCGAACATCCTCTGCCCCACCCCAGCTTCACATTTCAGTGGGGCACGAGGCGTATAAGGCATTTGGATCATATTCATCCGCCATTACCCGCCCTTATACTCCTCCTTCCTCTTCCTCCCAACTAGCAATGCTCTGCCCTTGACTTTATCGTGTTTTTTAGAGCTAACCCCCAAATTTTATGGATAAATGAGGAGTTCACAGAAGAACTCTATGGCTGACCCAGGTCATTTGTGGCAATGGCTCCTTCTTGTTAAAAGCCACCAGGTCATCAGGGCGTCGCCCTGGTCCCGTCCCCCACACGTGTGTTCCTCCTGGCGGTATATCAGCCTGTCCAAGAAACCGCATGCTGTTTTAATTGCCCCCAGCATGTAGCTGTAGTCCTGTGGAGTACTAGCTGTCGCTTGGTCCCCCGACATCACCCTGGGAATTGAGGTATGGCTTTGCCCTCCAAAGGTTCATGGTCCTTTGGGGACTAGGAGCTTCCTCAGCTCTGTTTCTGTAGTTTTCTGTATTTCCAGAGAAACCATGTTTTCCCAAGTACCAAGAATTCAACCTCTAGTATACTCTGCTGGCTCCCTCTTTGACTTGGAGCTATGGCATTTTCCAGAACCTTCTATGTATGAAGTGCAGTGAGGTGTGCTTTCTTACTGTGAGGCAGGAAGTGTAGTTAGCCTGCTGGGGATTTAAGTAGCACAGGCCTCAGGGCCGAGACATCCTGCCCAGGGGGACACCATAGGTGATGTACAACACAGCTCTGTTCCTGGCTGGACAGCTACCTCTGACCTGACCACAGAACCTGGGTCCCTCGGCCACAGCGGCAATGCCTCCTTGCCCCACCCAGCGGGAAGAAGGATTTAGGGATGAGCCAGCTGTGTATCCCTGGAAACCAACCTCCATCTGTCTAGAAAAAAAAATTCATAAGGTTCCTCCACTCCCCTAAGTCCCACAGAGGAAAACCAAATAGGGCAAGGTGGAAGGAGAACCAGGATGAAATGTCTACGATTTCAAATAGAATCATCTGGGATGGCCTCTCTGGGAAGGTGGCCTTTGAGTATTGTCTAGAAGGGAGTAAAGGAAAGAGTGTTCCAGGAAGAGGGAAAGGCCCTGGGGCCGAGTGTGTGTGAAAGATCTAGACTGGCAAGGCAGCCCCTGCATCTGGAGCAGGGGAGAAGGGTGTAAGTCAGCAAGTGCAGATGAACAAGGCTGAGGACTGGGCCAGCACACCAAAGGGAGCGAGCTGTACAGACTCAGCCCTGACCACAGGCAGGGTCGCCTGCCTGCTGTGTGGAGAGCAGCAATGGCACCGGAGGAAGGACTTAGGTGCCACTGCAGAGTTTAAGGGCAGTGATCGAGGAACCACAACACAGGTGGGAAGAAGCTGTCAGATCCCAGACAGCTCATCATGGCAGAACCAAGACTTATTTAAACCAAAATCACAGTTGTGAAATGCTGATTTTAGACGGGGTCGCTGGAACGACTGAAGACACTTGCTGTAATGGATCACAAGGGCCAACAAGGGCCCCAGAAGTTACCCTCAGGGTTATTCTGAGGGCAGAATTAGGATGCACTGGGCTGACTGTCCACAAAGGGGAGAGGATCCCCAGCCCCTCCTGAAGCACCCCCCCCCAGGCTCTCACCCCTAGAAGGCAAAGCTCAGTGGGACGCACAGCTCCTGTGGGCAGAGCCCGGAAGGACGGAAGGACGTGCCAAACCTGCTCGTCAGCCGCTCCGAGCCCAGCCCAGGTCGGAGCCTCAGTCACTGCTGCCACGCAGGGAGAGGAAGGCCGGCGCAGAGCGTGTCCTGTGAGCAGACGGCAGAGGAATGATGGACAGGTCAGCACGGGCCCCTAGCTGCCCCTCTCGGGCCGAAGCGGTGCGGGTTTGTGGGAAAGAGGGGTGGGTAAACAGCTTGTCCCCTTGCCTGCTTGTGGTGCCTGACCATCCTCGACTGCTGAGAGCTGCTTTGAGACAGTGCGGCTGTGTTTTGTCACCTGTCTCCTTGCTACGCCCCAGGGTGATAGGGGGAGGCAGGCTCAACCCCCCAGCCCAGGTGCGTGACAGTGAGGGAGAGGTTGCCTGTGGGGACAGGAGGGTGCAGCCAGGTGTCCTGGCCTGGTGTGACCGTCAGTTCCCCTCCTTTCCATGCAACGTGTTCATGGATCATCAGTTTCTCCGACCTTTCCCTAACTCCCTCGCCCTCCTCTGGAGTCCAGTGTGGAGTGAGTGTGTGTGTGTGTGCGCGCGCGCGTGTGAGCATGCACATGTCCTTCCTCCCTTGCTTCCCAGCAGATGGCTGCTGTTTCTAGCTGCACTGACCTAGGCCTGGCCCTAGCATGGCTTTAGGATTGCAGAAGCCTGGAACAGTCAGGGGTGTGGGGGTTTGGAGAGCCCGGAGAACTTCTGACTTTCCCAGTCACTTTGGGGTTCGGCCCAAGAGCAGTGGGTCAAGCCTTGCAGGGAGTCCTGCAGCCCTCTGGGCAGTCGCACGAGCCAGACCACACACACATGCTGGCTGTGGCCCCAGTGCCCGGGGCTCAGGGCCTCTTGGGAGACCAGGTGTCCGCAGCTCCTCCAGATCCAGCTGCAGCCTGGGGTGTTGCCCTCGGCTTCTCAGTGCAGTGAAGTAAGGACAATCTGGCCCGTGTGTGATTCCCTGAGGACCAAAATTAGTGCTCTGTGAGCCCTGGCTACAGGGTCCTTGGTTCTTAGTCACCAATTTAGTCACAAGGCCGTCAACATGGGTCAAAGGTCACAGTGTGTTTTCTATCTGCTTCTGAAGAGCAGGCTTGGTCTGGCTCAATGCCTGAGTAAGTGGGTATTCCACGGGATATTTGGCAGCACATCTAAAGGAATATAAAGATTTTATGAAAAGATCCCCCGTCCCTTTATGAGTAGGCAGTCAAGGAATCCTGCCACAAGACTGGCCCCTGTCACCTTCCTGTCCCAGGCAGTCTTGGTCCAATCCTGTCTCACCCCTTCTCTCTCCCCATGGCTTCTGGCAGCTGCCGCTGTCTGCTCTCTCCCACCCTTCCCTGTGCACACTCCGGTAGGACCTTCCTCCTGGAGGCTCACACATGTCCACTCTGCCACCTGCCAGTCCCTTCCCCGCGGTGACCTGTCACCCAATACCGTCACTTTAGAGAGAGAAGGTCACCAGTGATGCTTACACCAGGATGAGGGGCATGAACAGGAGCCTTGCCCAGCCACCTGGGACCCTGGGCATCTCCTCTGCCAGGTCCTTTGTGCTAAGCTATGTCCCCTCCTCTAGGAAAAAGCTTTGTTCCTTCTGTTTGACTACTGAATTAATTTCATTATATTCTGAAATAATGACTTGTTGGCTTTTATTGATCTGTATTTGCTCATTCTAAAAAGTTTGATCAGTACCAAAAGAGAGAGAGAGAGAGAGAGAGAGAGAGAGAGAGAGAGAGAGAAAGGAACAGCTTTTCTAGAATTCTACTGTTGCAATTAGCAAGTATCAGTACTGCTGAACAGGATGCTGGGTCTTCCTTCCTGTGTCTGTCTCTGTTTCTCTTCTCCTCTCCTTTCCTTTCCTTTTGTTTCTGCCCCCTCCTCACACACACACAGGATGGATGGATGGATGGATGGGCGGTGGGCTGGGCAACACACATCGAGTACCTGCTAGACACAGATGGACTAACATTTAATAAAAAATGGGATTGTGCACTCCGTGATTTAACTCTAAAATTTAAACTTAAATTTAAACTATTAAAAATGACAGTATGCAATACAAATATTTCTCACCTGTAAGAACTATCTGCTTGTCAAAACCTCCACAAAGATTCAGGGAAGAGATATTAAACCCTTCTGAAGTTTTGACAGGAATGCAGCAGACTCGTCTCCCTCACGACAGTGACCCACCCTGCACTCCCTCCCATCATCCTGCCTACCTGGCAGATCTCTGGTGCTAGTACAGTTTTCACTCTGTCTGGATAGAGAAACTTTGCATTTTGCTTGAGGACTGGAATTCCCATGAGCACTGAGCACCAGAGATGCTGTTAAATGCAATACAAAAAGGCTGGGCTACCCAGCGGCAGGTGACCTGCCGGGGCAGAGACCCTGTGCCAGAGACCCTGCTGGGGACCCTGCTGAAGGTGCAGAGCAAAGTGTGTGTGTGTGTGGCGGGGGATAATATTCCCATCTCCCCAGGCTTCCTAGCAGGAGAATCCCAGCCCTTCCTCCTCCTCTGTCCCTGGGGGCCATCTTACTGTGTAACTTCCTTTCTGCCTACCAAAGCTTTTGGCAAGAAGTGACTTTTCCTTTGTGTGTGGCCTTTTTTTTTTTTTCCTTCAACAGGGTCTGCTACTGAACTCACTATGTAGCCCAGTCTGGCCACCAGCCCTCAGCAAATCCTCCTGCCTCAGCCTCCCAGGTGCTGGGATTATAGACATGCCTGGCTCTTTTTTTTTTTTTCCTCCTTTAAAAAGTGTTTCTTCCTTACCAAGGATTGAATCCAGAGAACGCTGAGCTACACTCCCAGCCCATTTTGTTTTATTTTGAATCTAAATTGCCCAGGCTAGGTTCAAATTTGCAATCCTCCTGCCTCATCCTTGAGTGACCAGGATTCTAAGCATGTGCCACCACACCCAGATTTAACTTTTTGAAAACATTTCTGTGTTCATTTTGCCAGGAACTGGGCAGAGGGTGAGTCTGCAGGCAAGCTCTTGCTGTTACTGAAGAATGTGCTAGGGACCTCTGTTGCCTCTGTGGCAGCCCGGCACATTCCTGGGAGGTCACAGGGAGGAGCCAGGAATCTAGAATGAGGAAGCAAAGGAGGCAGGCAGGAGGGGGCAGGCAGAAAACCATGGCCCTGCTCAGTGCCTGAGGGCAGCAGACAGGAGCTGGCAAGGAAGGGACCCAGCTCTGGTGGCGACATAGGACAGTTGGGTGCCCAGCTGTGGGAGCTGCTGGGCCAGGGAAGGGAAGGGAAGAAGAGAGGCTGGCATCCTACACATGGCAGGCAGCCAGCACTGGCCTCAGCCCTCTGCACTGAGCACTGTTCCCAGTCCTTGTGTTTGTTTTTGTTGTTGTTTGTTTATGTTGTTTTCAGTTTTGAGACAGTTTTACTAAGTTGCTAAAAAGCCTGGGTAAAAAGCTGGGTCCAAATTCGCAGCTTGCCATCTTCCTGCTTCTGATTCCCAGAGCCTTTTTTTTTTTTTCAAATAACTTTATTGACTATAACTCGTATGCCTTACAATTCACCAGTTTCAGATGTGCAAGTCAGTGCATTTAAGAAGTTCACAGATGCGTGCAAATGGCAACACAGTCAAATCCAGGACATTTTCATAACCTCTAAAGAAACCAACCCGTGCTACTTCCCTAGTGTATGTCTGGGTCCAGAGGTCCCCAGTCAATTGAAGCAGGGCCAGATTCTGGTGTACGCCCAGAGCCCTGGGCTTGGTTGGTTGCTCTGCTGCCATTGCCTGGAAGCTCTGGATATTTCATTTAAACAAGTGAACTGTTTTTTTATTTCTCTCTGGGCTCTGCAGATTACATAGCTGGTGCCAAACTGAACAGAATGTTTCTTTGACTTGGGGATCAGACCTGACCATGGAGAAGCACAACAGGCCTTCCAAGGAAGTGCCCATGGCCACCCATATGTGCAGACGGATGGCACTCCCAGGCTTGGCCCGTTTCCCAGTCCTCTTTGCCATGTGTGTTGTGTGTTTCCTGCCACAATAAGTTAATGCAAGCTGGGTGGCTTCTAACTGCAGAAACTTAATCATTCAGAGTTCCGGGGGCCAGCAGCACCGTGCTCTCTGAGGAAGCTCTAGGAGAGAAGCTGCCTCATGCCTTTCTCTGCACTTATGTTGCTGACGGTATCTGGCAGTCCATACTGTGTGTATGCATCCCTCCACACACGTTGTCACATGGCTCTGTCTCGTGTCTGTGTCTCTTCTCTTCCTTTGGGAAGCATCACTGGATAGGCCTGAGAAGGTCCTCTTCAAGAGGAGGTGGTGATCTCAACATGGTCCAGACAGGTTCTTCACTTCTTGTCACAGGAAACATTTCAGGAGCATGAGGGAGAGACAGGAAGAGAAAACAGGGACATCAGCTTGAGGAGCTGCAGAGGGCATGGTGCTGATGGAAAGGATCAGATCGCTCTGTTAACAAAGGAAGGAGGTGGGCAGAGGTCTGGTTGATCTTGATCTCAGATCTGGTTTTGTAAGGTGGCTCCAGGGAATCCCTTATTGCTTAGTCCACAGTTGCTACCAGGTGCTTCTTCCTGCATGGGCCAGTCTTAGTCTTGTGGAGGCTCTATTGGAACACAAGTGACCACAGGTAGAGGGCAATGACTGGAGACTCCCCAGGGCTCACTGGCAGTTGAATGTCCCTGTAAGTCTTTTATCCTGGTGTCCTCAGTCTTGAAAGGGGTGAGATAGGTTTATGTAAATGAGAGCTAATCAACCTTGTAACGCCGGCTTTTCAACACATGTTCCCTCAACGATGAACATGTCTGTGTGCAGAGCTGAGCAGGGACCTGACTTGGAGTTTCGCTGTGATAAAAGAGACAGCTACAAAAGGAAGGACAAGTTTTACTCTGCCTTTAGTAAAAGCACCCGTAGGCCCAAGTGAAGAATTGCTGTTTTGTTGTTGCTGTTTTGTTTTGTTTAATTTAAGACTCCTAGAAAAACAAGAGCAAGAAAAACCCAAAGCTTGAACAAGAGAGGAAATTATAAAGATTAGAGCAGAAATCAATGCAGTGGAAACTAAGAAAATAATACAATAAATGAATAAAAGAGTTGGTTTTTTGAAAGAATAAATAAAATTGATAAAACCTTAGCTATCCTTATCAAAAAAAGGAAAGAAAAGGCTCAGATCTGTGCAATTAGGAATGAAAAAGGTGAAGTCACAACAGATCTAACAGAAATCCTGAGGGTAGTCAATACCTACTTTGAGAACCTGTACTCTAATAAAATGGAAAACACAGAAGAAATGGACAGATTTCTAGATACTTATGAATTACCGAAGTTGAACAAAGAAGATAAAAATATTTAAACACCCCCAAATACAATCATTGAAATTGAAAATGTAATTAAAAATTTACCAACAAAGAAAAGCCCAGGCCCTGACGGATTCACTGCTGAATTTTACAAGACATTTAGAGAAGAACTACTGCCATTACTCTTCAAACTTTTTAATGAAATTGAAAGGGAAGAAATACTTCAAATTCATTCCTGGAAGCAAGTGTCACTTTGATCCCCAAACCAGGGAAAGATGCAACTAAAAAAGAGAACTACAGGCCAATCTCCTTAATGAATATAGATGCAAAAATCCTTAAGATACTAGCAAACAGAAAGCACAGGATCATCAAGAAGATCATACATCTTGACCAAGTTGGATTTATTCCAGGGATGCAAGGATGGTTCAACATATGTAAGTCAATAAATGTAATACACTGTTTTAACAAAATCAAGGACAAAAACCATATGATCCTCTCGACAGATGCAGAAAAAGCATTTGACAAAATTCAACACCCATTCATGATAAAAACTGTGGAAAAAATTGGAATAGATAGTCTATATCTCAACTTAATAAAGGCTATCTATGAAAAACCAACAACCAACATCATATTAAATGGCCAAAAACTGTGACTTGTTACTGTTGTTTAGCAAAAGCAGCTTTCACATCCCTGACTGCCTCCGAAGAAAATTCAGATCAGGCTCTCAAAGAGTAACAGGTTTTAGAGGCCTGGGAGTTCGCTTGTGCTCTGTCCGTAGGTAGTCACTGTCTCAGAAAGACTGGTCATCGGAGGAGAGCCCACCCAAATGACCTCACTTCGACTCTGTCTTCAGAGACTTATTCCCCAGTAAGATCGTATTCACAGAGGTGGGGAATGCAGCACATCTCTGGGGACACAGCCCTCAGCACCCCATCTCAGATGCATCGATTCAGCGGTGCCCTGGAGGAGACCAGGAATGAGCTGCTGAAGAGAAGCAGGTCTGAACTGCCTGGGCCCCTTCTCTGGCCTCCACCCCTCTTTCCAGTGGTTCTTCTGTGTGGGCGGACTTAGGGGAAGGGTGGCCCTTGGTGACTTTGAGTCACAACCATGCTCTTCTTGGCTTGCAGGGTTCAGGGCTTGGAATCAGTTTAGAAGTACGCTTCAGCTGCGGGGAGTGTCCATAGTACTGAGGTCTTTTCTTCAGGGATTTCTGGCATAAGAGTTTATCCCTTTTTTTTTAGTGGTGGTGCTAGGGTTTGAACCCAGGCCTCACACGTGCTAGGTAAGTAGTCCACCACTGAGCTGCACCTCAGTTTTACCTTTCTTCTTAAAGGCATGTTTATGCGTGCACACAGCATACTTGGATCATTCCTACTGTTTTTTCCCCCTTTACCACCTGCATTAGCCTTTGGTGACTGGACTTTGATTTTTAGAACTGGTCACGTGGTTCACAAGAGCTGTAACTTCTTCTTGGAACTAGTTTGGCTTCCAGCCCTTCCTGTCTAGCCCAGTCCCACTAGTGGCCCGCTGGGAAAGGAGCCAGTGGCGCCCTGGCTTGGGCAACCTGGAGCAGAGCCACTGCCAGGCGCTCACGCAGACATGAACCTGAACCTCTCCTGGTGAGTGCTTGCCGCAGCCCGGGCTCTGGGGACGGTTGGTGGAGTTGTTCATGGAGTCAGGATTCTCCCACTATCATTCCCCGGCTTTTAGATTAGAAGGCTTGATTCGCTCTGCTCTCCAAATGTTTTTAATGTACAGACCTCTTGGAGCAGCATCGAACTCTGCCCAGGCCAACTTGTCATTCCAAAGTGAAGGGATCAAAACAAAGGAACTCTTGGGCTCATAAATGCCCCCACTTCTGCCCAGAGATGCCGAGGGTATCTGCACAACACTGTGTGACAGAGGAAAACTAGAAAGAGCCTCACATCCTTCCCCAGGAGGATCGCTACCCTGGCTGTGTTTCCTTCAGGACAGCTCTTGGCTTAGAAAGGAATCTGAGTGAACAGAGCTGCAGGGGCCAACGTGATAAAACTTGGGACTGAGGGGTGGCTCAGTGGCACACCACTTGCCCAGCAAGCCAAGGCCCTGGTTCCATCCCCAGCACTACCAAAAATAAGTAAGTAAGTAAAATAAAAAAAAGAAGAAGCAAGATCAACCTCCAAACATGTACTGCCCTGTGCAGGATGATAGTACTTATGTAAAGTGAGAGCTCATAGTAAAAATACTGTCTATATAAAGTTACTGTGCAGATAAAGTATCACACAAAATTACTACCAACATATCATGCTGCTAGTCACATCTGCCTGGAGGAGATGATGTGTAAGATAGCGGTTACCTATGGGTGCAGAGTGGGGGAAAAGGACAGAGGAGGAGGAGGAGGCACCAGCTGTCTCCTTACACTGCCCTCTCTTCAGAGAAAACCTGAATCGCAAAGTGCTGAGACAGTGGACTCTACGTGGTGGGTGCTGGACTGTTTGTCACACCATCGGCAGGACCTTCTTCCAGGCCTGAGACCGTCCACAGTCTATAGCAGTCTCACAGTGTTCGGATGGGTTACTGGGCTACTGACCTTGAGCAGCGTGGGGAGGCAGAAAGCAGCCCCCCAGGGGAACACAGCTGTGAACACGGCTCACCTAAAAAGCCCAGAGGCTGAGCAGGTGGCCCCAAGCCCCACCCCAACACAAAGTCTCAGTCCTAGGCTGGCCTGCCTGTCACCCGCAGGGCCACCGTCCAGGGCTTGCTGGCTGCACTCTGTCCCGACAGGGCCGGACCTGTGAAAGCAGGGGTGGAGCCTGCCCTGCTTCCCTGCCACACCGGGACCTGTCCATCCTGCTGTGTGCTCTGTTTCTTTGCCTCGTTTAACCCACAGAGCCCACCACCCTCTGTCAGGGCCTTTCCTACAGTGTTGTCTCTTTCATTCTTAGAATTCTCTTTTACAAATGCCATTCCGCAATGCCTTCCTGACACCCCCACCTGGAGCTGCTGTGGCGAACGACCACACCCCGGGCGCCTTCAAACAGCAAACACTTATTCTCTGGTGGTTCTGGGAGCCAAAGTCTGGGATCAAAGAGTCCGCCGGGCTCCATGGAGGCCTCCTTCCTGGCACTCCCTGATCCTGAGCTTGTGCTCTTGGCTTGAGCGATGTCCCTCCCTCTCTGTCTCCCTTGTCACTTGGCTTTTTTCTCAGTCTCTGTCCCTCCTCTTCTTGGAGGGGCACCAGTCCTTGGCCTTGATGCTCTCTGTAATCCAGACTGACCTCCTCTTAAGTACTCACATCTACACAGCGTTTGTTTACAACCCCGGTCACTTTCTGAAGTCCCCTGGATAGACAAGGGGACGTGATCCAAGTCACTACACCTGTTTTTTAAGGAAGATTACTCCAGAGAAGACGGTCTTCTAAAAACTTCAAGGGTCGGCTCCACCCACCACCTCCCTTCCACTCCCTGAATAAGAGGCCAAGCCTTTTCCATTCTGAGAATTTTATTTTAGGAAAACCTGAGTGTTTAAACACCGTGACATGAGCCTTATGAGGGTTCAACATGCAGCCATTCCTTTCCTGTGCTCCTGGCCCTGTACCCCACTCCCCTATGTCTTTGGGACCTCTGTGCCCTTTAGCCACCCACCTCAAGCCAGATGACTCTCACTCACCTCTGTCCTTTCTTCTACCCTCTGTCCGCACATTCTGGAGTTCATGGTCCAGAGAAGCCAGTAGTCTTGCTTCCACTGCTCACGAATGAGTATAGAAAGCAGTATTTCCAGAACTCAGTGCCACTTGCATCACTTTAGATGAACTTTTCAAACATATTTACTTATTTTATTTTTTTTTAACTTAGGAAAAGCTCCAACTGACCAAGAAAGGTAAGATTTTGTGATTTTGCTTGGGGTCAGGTTAAACAGATGGTTCACTAGGGCTTATGCAGATGTGGAACCCAAAAATGGCAAAACCTGTAGAGGTTGTTCTAAAATGACTGAAGAAAGGGACCCGTAGTGGGAGAAGGAGTTCCTTCCAGCTCCCTGACCAGCCTACAAACCAAGACACAGCCAGCCTCTCTAAAGCAGAGGTTTCAGAGCTCCGTGGTGGGTGTGAGCCTTATCTCAACACCGCCCTAAACGCCCCTCCGGCTCCATGGCTGGATTCAGATCTAGGCAGGTGCTCTCACCCCAGCAGGTGACATCACAGCCACCACTAGAAAGGACAGGGAATGCCTCCCTGTCTAGCTTCTGACCAGAAAGGGCCTGCCAGACCCTCACAAAGTGTTATTCCCTCCATAGAGAAGAATCACAAGTGCTCACCACACTGATAAAAACAGTGTGCTTTCCACATGCACAACATCCCACAATATGTCTCTTGACTCTACTCACCTGACTGCCGCCTGACCCCTTCCAGGCAACACCCACCGCCAGTAGACACAGAAACACTTCTGGCTGTTGGACCCAGTATCCAAATGCTCAGGTTTATTATAGGGCAGTTTCTTGACCTTTATTTTTTTCTTTTCTATTTTTTGCAGTACTGGGGATGGGAACCCAGGGCCTCACACAAGCTAGGTGTGTTAGTCAGTTCCCTGGTACTGGTACAAAATCCCTGATACCTGTAACTCAGAGGGGAGGTTAATCTGGCTCATGGTTTCAGATGGATTTGGTCATAGCTGTCCCAAGGGAGAAACAGAGCACAGGAGAACAGTGCCAGAGAAGAAGGGGCCAGGGACCAAAAGCAGCTCCCAGAGTCACAGCCCCATGACTCATCCAGACACAGCTAGAAGTGTGCTTCCTTATCTCCTAGGCATCTCTCGAGCCAATCAAATTGACAATCAAGATTACCCATCACACCACTGAGCCGCAGCCCAGCCGCTTCAGCTTTGTTTCATTATCACCCCCTAAGCAGTCCTTTCAGACAGCTTTTCCCTAATAGCCTTCCCTTGAAATACTGGTGTCATAAATACATTGTATATTCTGTTCATGTCCATCTGTGCCTTGAAGGGCATAAAACTTTCCCTAGTTCATTGTCACCCCTTTGGAGGTCTCCTTCAATACCCCCTTGAATTTGGATGTGCTAGGCCCTTCCGAAATTTTATGTTTGTGGGGGTGTAGGGGATGTTCTTGGTGCTGGGATCAAACCCAGAGCCTCGAGCTTGCCAGGCAGGTGCTCCTGACCTGACTCCTAACATCATGCTCATTGGGTCAGTGAGGTTCCTGACCAGGATCAGCAAAGGGCAAATCGGATCTGCTAACATCAGTGGAGCCACTTCCTCTCTCTGTGCCACAGGGCGGGGACTTGATCTGACACCTGACCCAAGGGTGGCTTTGCCCATCCCTGGTTGTGAAAGCAGGACTGGGGTGGAGGCGGAGTGGGGATACTGGGGATGTCCACTGTGCCCTCTGAGTTGGTTGTTCCCTTTTCTTCCAACAAATTGGGGAAGTGGATTTGAACGCAAATCCAGCGCCCAAGGCGTTGCACTGATTGTCCCCTTGCAGAGCCCCGCCTGCCGAGCCATGGCGGAGCTGTGCCGCACGGACTCCACACTCATGGCCCTGGACGAGGACACGCTGTGGGAGCTGATGGAGAGCCACCGCTACAAGATTGTGCGGAGCATCCACCCCAGCCGTCTCACGCCCTACCTGCGCCAGGCCAAGGTGCTGGGCCAGCTGGATGAGGAGGAGGTCCTGCACAGCCCCTGCTTCACCAACAGCGCCATGAGAGTCGGTGAGTCCGGGCCGGCTCCGCACAGCCCGGCGGCACAGGACTTCACCACTGCAGAGACAGAAGTCCAGACTTTACAGAGATTGCCCTGGTCTCCTAGGGCAGCCCCAACAAACGACCATAATGTGTGGTTTAAAACAACAGCAGTGGAGCTGCAGCATAGCCTAGTGGTAGAGCACAAGTTTCCTGTGCGAGGTCCTGGGTTCCTCTGTCAGCATCAAGCAGGGGGGTGGGGTGGGGACCACATAGCAGTGGATTCTCTCAGTGCTGGAGACCAGAAGCCTCCAGTCAAGGCGTGACTGCACTCACTTCCAAGGTTTCGGGTGTAGTCCTTAGTGTTTCTCCGAGCCCCAGACATTCGCGGTATTCCTTGGTGGCCACACTGCTCCAGTCTCTGCCTCTGTCTCTGTGCCTTCTCCTCTTCCATCACATGAGGGCACTTGTCACTGGGTTTAGGGTCCACCTGGGTATCCAGGATGATCTTATCTTGAGGTCTTCGATTTAATTACATCCCCAAAGGTCTATTTTCCAAAGAAATTTGTGTCTTTGGTTGGGGGGGGTACACTGCTGTTCAACCCACTGCTTAAGCCTTGGACTCAGTTCTGTCTTTCAGGCTGGTTTATTCGTCCAAAGCAGGGGATGCTGGCGGCAGGTCTGGCCCATGGAAGTGGCAGCTATGAACATATAATGCGTGTGCGTGTTGAGTCATGGGTCTCCAGTATGGGAGGGATTCATCCAGGCCTGATTCTAGCTGAGGAGACAGGATTTGGACCCCGTGTTTGGGATGCACCCAGGCTCCCTAGGGTCACCTGCGGGGGCCTCACGGGCTGCTATCTGCTATTTCCTCAAGGTAACGACAGTTCTCAGAGCACGGTGTTGGGACCACATGTCTGCACATGTCCTCATTCTGAGTTGCCCATAGTAGTTGCTAATAAATGCAGACTTGGTCTCAGCTGACTGAGTCATGTGATGGTGTGTACAAGGGCAGGGAGGACCCAGCCTGCCCAGGAATCCCAGAGAACTGCTTTTACCCCCATTGCCAGATGCGCAGGGATGTCTCCACCTCGACCTCGCTCATGGGAAGCCGTTTGGGTGTGCACTGCATCCTTGGTGGCTCAAGGATGGCTCTCTCCCTCTCTCCTTAAGGGCATCTACTGGATTTGCTGAAGACTCGAGGGAAGAATGGCGCCATTGCCTTCCTGGAGAGCCTGAAGTTCCACAACCCGGATGTCTACACGCTGGTCACTGGCCTACAGCCCGACGTGGACTTCACCAACTTCAGCGGTGAGTGCTCGGCCTGCGAAAGAGTGGGCAGGGCCATCCGGAGTTGGGGGCCCCACCTGGCCTATGCTGGCCCAGGGTTCTCCTGCCTCCCTCCAAGCAGGGGTCCTGGCCTGAGCCTCCTGCTCCCCCACTCACCACACGGGGAAAGTAGAAGAAGGAGCCCTGACCTTGGATTTTTCAAGCTCTGGCTTCTGACCTGCATTCCAGGGCGCAGGCCAAGCTTTTACCTTGCTTGAGACACCTCCCAGCCTCCCAGCTCTGGGGGAGTCCCTTCCCAAGGGGAAAAGGGAGTGGTACCTCCTGCACTTTACCACCTGACCCAAGTAAAGGTCATGCCTCCCTGGTGGAAGATGAGGCCATTTGTGTTAACTGAGTGATTTTAGGCCACCTGTGGGAGGCACTGAAAGATGCAGGTATTCACAGCACTCAAAGTGGTAGGCGCCAAGCCCTCTCCTCCTCATCAGCCTTGCACTACATGTTTATGTCAGAGTGCAGTTGCGAAGGTTCACATCTATCAGTGTGTCTTCCTGGAGATGGCATTGAAAAGACTCAGCTTTATCCATTCAAGGCAGTGCCCACCTGTAATCCCAGCCATGCGGCAAACCAAGGCAGGAGGATCAAAAAAGTTCAAAGCCAGCCGAGTGTGGTGGCGCACGCCTGTAATCCCAGCACTTCGGAGGCTGGGGCAGGAGGATCTCTGTGAGTTCAAGACCAGCTTGGGCTACATAGTTCCAGGTGAGTCTCAGCTACATAGGGAGACCCTGTCTCAAAAAACAAAACAAAACAAAAGTTCAAAGCCAGCCTGGCCAACTTAGCAAGACCTCATCTTAAGAGTAAATAAAAATTCCTGGGATGTAGCTCAGTGATACAGCCCTTGACTTTCATGAGTGTGGTCCTGGGTTCAATCCCCAGTACCGTGCAAAAACAAAACAAAACAAAACAAAAGAGTGAGTTAGTTTCGAGGCACCTCAGCATGTGAGAAGGAAGCTGGGTCTGGCCTACTTTTCACTGGAAGGGGAAGAGCAGTAATCCCTGCGCCAAAGTCATGCCATGCTATTTATTTAATTAAAATACAAAGTCTGGTTCAGGCTGGAGCCTCAAAAGGAGCCATACAGGTTGAGGCTGTTCCTGGTTGGGTCTGGGCACAAGACTCAAAGGCACAGGAGGCTGGGGACAGGGACCAAGGGCAGTGCCACAGCCTGCCTGCTGGTTTCCCCGGCAGGCCTCATGGAGACGTCCAAACTGACTGCGTGCCTGGCCGGGGCCATTGGCAGCCTGCAGGAGGAGCTGGCCCAGGAGAAAGCCCAGAAGGAGACTCTGCTGCAGCAGTGCCGGCGGCTGCAGGAGCGCCTGGGCTTGGCCGAGGCTCACGCCGAGGGCCTGCGGCAGCTGGAGGCTGACCACAGCCGTATGAAGCACGAGGCCAGTGCCCACTTCCACGAGGTACTGAAGCTGAAGGACGAGATGCTGAGCCTCTCCCTGCGCTACAGCAATGCGTTGCAGGAGAAGGAGCTGGCCACCACGCGCTGCCGCAGCCTGCAGGAGGAGGTAGTGGGATGCCAGTGCTTGCGGGTGGGAGCCCCAGCCTGACCGCACTCCTCTGGGCCTTGGCATGTGCCGGTGCACCCGCCCGGAGCGCCGTCCCCTCCTTGGCCAGCACGTCCAACTCCCCAGCCGTGGCTGAGTCCTCTTCCGGAAGCTGACTCCACCTCTCCCCAGTGGCCGCCGGGGCCCCTGTGCATAGCCCAGAGCCTGGCCTTGCCCCAGAATTGCCCATACCTGCCTTGGTCTGGCCAGCCTGGCTGTGAGTCTGGGAAAGGCCTGGCCACTCTGTGCTCCACATTACCAGGCCCACCTGGGAGCCATTGCCTCCCGGGCAGGGACACTGGCACCCCGTCACCTTTGTCCTTCTCAGTTGGTTCTGGGCTCAGGCCGGGAGGATAAGATCATTGTCAGATCAGGCCTCCTCTCCCCTGGTTGGGTGTTTCACACGTTTTCTGGCAGGGTAATGAACTTCGAGTGAATTTATAAGAATTCTTTAAGTATCAAGGATGTCTGTTATTGTTTTGACATGTGCTCCTTGCTTTTAATTATGCTATTTGCTTGCATTTATCTGTTTATTTATTTGTTGTGCTAGGGATTGAACCTAGGACCTTTGCACTGAGCCACATCCTCAGTTTTATTTATTTATTTTTGTGACAGGGTCTCACTATGTAGTTCAGTCTGGCCTTGAACTCACTATGTAGCCCAGGATGGCCTCGAATTCATTGCAATCCTCCTGCCTCAGCCTCCTGAGCGCTGGCATTGCAGGCCTGTACCACCACACTGGCTTCTATCTTTGTTTTAAGATAGGGTCTTGCTGAGTCCTTATGTTGCCTAGGCTGGGCTTGAATTTGTGATCTCCCTGCCTCAGCCTCTCCAGTAGCTAGGACTGCAGGTGTGTTATCACCACACCTGGATCTTTTGTTTGCTTTTGAATTTTGCATTTTATTTATAAATAATTACAAATTTATTTTTAAAATTTAAAGTAATACAAAGAATACTCCTGTACCCTTACTTTCACACTTGTACTGTCTCTGTCTTTTCACCCATGCACACAATCAATCCCGAGTTCCATACCTTATGGCTCTTTGTTCCCAGATTTCAATGTGTATTTCCTAAAAACAGAGTATTCTCTCAGATGAGCACAGTTATCAACTTCTTCAGTTTGCACTGATTTGCACTTCTTGTCCACTCTGCAGCCTGCATCCCTATTTTATCACTGACCTGCGCCCTGCCCTGGCCAGCCTTCCCCTCCGTCTGGGGTCGCACATATTACCATGCTGCCTGTTCCGCCTCCTTCCGTCAGAAACACTCCTGCCCCCTCTGTGTCTGTTACAAGACGGATGTTTTTGAAGACAGCAGTCTTCTCCCCTTATTGTTGCTTATTTGTGTGTTTGTCTTGTCTTTGTTTGTTTGAGACAGGGCCTCGCCGTGCAGTTCAGGGCAGCCCCCAACTCCCAGCAGTCTTCCTGCCTCGGCCTCTTGCATGCTGGGATTACAGGTGTGCCTGCTACACCTGGTCCTTCTTTGTAATAGACTACTCACTTGCGTGTTTTCTCATGTCCACCGTGGGTGGGTGAGCTTTTTGCATCTTTGGCTTGGCCCCTTGTGGCCGATGCTGGAGACCCCCTGGTCCTGAGGAATGAGCAGACCACCGCTCTGGGGTGCCCGTTTCTGCACTGCAGCACCATTTCCCGGCAGCGGTGGGTAAGCCACAGAAGGGAAGCGCTTCGAGACCCGCCTTGCCCGTCGTTAACTGACGTTTCCCTCAGACTTAACTGTGCTGCTTCCTGGCTGAACCCATCTTGACCCGAGCAGGGGCAGACGCTGCCCATGGCGCCAGGTGGCCTCGGCCTCAGGCTGGGGGAAGCGCCTTCCCCTCTCCCCACCATTCGGTCTGCTGTTGGCGCAGACTCGGGGGCCCTAGGGTGGCCAGTGGTGCGTTCTCTTCTTTAGTGAGTTTATGCTCGAATGACCACAGACCTGGCCAGCGGGAGTCCTGCAGCCTGCTCCGGCCCTGTGACAAGGCTTCGTGTTTTCTCAGCGCTGACTTCCTTTCTAGCACTTAAGAAATTCCAGGATCGTCTTGGCCCCACCTTGCCCCAGCTCTGGGGTCCTCCTAGAAAACAAGATCTGGGTACTTGGCCCTTGTCAGCAAACATAGGGGAGGCATATGTATAACCACACATCTATGTTCATGCACACATGCATGTAAACACATGTACACGCATGTGCATCCGTGTGCATATGCCCTCAAATACAGGTCCACATGACCCACACTTGTTTCTCATATAAATGCGCACGTCTTATGTACATGTAAATGTGCGCGTGTACACATGCTCACACATAGAAGTGCACATGTCCACGTGTGCCCACACGAGCACACACATGCGTATGGTACACTTACGTGCCGTGCACGTCCCTCTCCATCCATGCGTACACGCGTGCCCGGGTGCGCCCACACATACCTCTGTGTGGGCACACCCCGTCTCCATTCCACCTGCCCCGGCCCACACCCTCTTCCTCTCCTGGGAGCCAGGGTCTCGGCCTGTGCGTACGTTCACTCCCTGTCGGGATAGTCCGGGGGTGGCTTCCCCAGCTTCCCCTCTCCTGCTGGCTTGACTTTTCTCTTACTGATTTGCATGAACCCGGTTCCCTTCGTGTGAGTCGAATGTGGGAAGATTGTGTAGCCAGGAAGCACGCTGGCTAGCGTCACTGCTGCTGGCGACCAGGACAGAGGAGCCGGGTGCTGGGGCCCCTAGGTCTGCTCCTGGGCACCCTACCAGGGGTTAACTTGCACCTCATCTACAGAACGAAGCTAAAATGCCTTTCTCCTCTCCTGAGGAATTGGGTAAAACTGCACTTTAGGTTGTTTTAATGTATTGATTTTTGAATATGTGTTTAACTTTGGAGTACTGAGGATGGAAACCAGGGCCTTCACACTGAAAAACTTATTTTAAAACAGGATCTCACTAAGTTGCCCAGGCTGGGCTTGAACTTGTGGTCCTCATGCCTCAGCCTTCCAGGGTGCTGGGGTTATAGGCCTGTGCTACTGTGCCTGAGTAGATACCTTCTTAAATCTTGAGCGCCCCATCAGGAGGAGGGTGGAGAATCCGCACGGCTTCTGCTCTGGTGGAGAAACCACTCGGCTTGTCCTCCTCCCTCCTCCCTGGACAGCTCTACCTGGCGAGGCAGGAGCTGCAGCGGGTGGACATGGTGTCTTCCTGTGAATGGGAGTTCCGAGAGCGAACCCTGAAGATGGCCAGCACCCTGGAGTCAGGGCACGAAGAGCTGAGTCGCCTGAAGGAGGAGAACGAGAAGCTCCGCTCGCTGACCTTCAGTCTGGTAGGCTCTGGTTCCCTCTGGCCTGCGCTGTAGCAGGCACTGTCCTCGCCAACAGCGGGTGGCTCCCGGGCCTCGGCACTTCTGACAGGCAGTTTGCTAAGGTGAGGCCAAGAACCAGGCAAGGGAAAATACAGGCCACCCTCTTCTCCCCCGCAGCCCCAGACAGTGGCTGGACATGCATTAGCATGTCCTACTTGGCCGGTTCGATGCTGCGCAGTGGTTTCCGAGATGATTGGGCTGGCCATAAAGGATGGGGTCAGGGGAAAGAAACCATCCTGTCCAGAAGGCTTTCTGCCCTCCTGTCCCCTCCTGAGCATTATTGGGAGTAGAGGAATTGGTGGCATTGAAGCCTGGAATTATGCTCACCATGGATTGATTGATGTTTGTTTTGTACCAGGGATCAAACTCAGGACCTTGTGCTTGTGAGGCAGGTGGTGGTGCTACTGAACTAAATCTCCAACCCCTTGATCAACTGATTTTTGTTAGCTTTTTTTTTTTTTTTTGGTTCTGGGAATGGAACTCAGGTCCTTGCGCTTGCAAGGCAGGCAGTGGCACCACTGAGCAACATCCCCAACCCCTAACTGATTTATTTTTGTGACAAGATCTCACTATGTAGCCCAGGCTGGCCTTGAACTCATGATGATCCTCCTGCCTCTGCCTCCTGAGTGCTACAATTACAGGCGTGCATCGCTTCGCCCAGCTAGAATGTTTTAAAGGAGGAATTGTCATCCTAAGAGGTTTTCAGCTTCTATCACTCACATCTCCTTGACCTATATGATCAGAACCCACACTTTTTCCATGGCCTTCCTCTTGCCTAACTGGTGTTAATAGGCGACACTATCCATCCGCACACAGGACGTCTCCCGTGCTGGACGACGCTCGGCCCGTTCTCCCCAGGGAGGCATCTGGGGAGGGTGGGTCATGGGCCGACATCCTTCTGACCAGGTGGAGAAGGACATTCTGGAGCAGAACCTGGATGAGGCTCTGGAGAGCAAGCAGGAGCTGGTGGCCCGCATCCACTCGCTGCGAGAGCGGGCTGTGGCCGCGGAGAGGCAGCGAAAGCAGGTGACGCTGTGGCTGCCTTCCTGGGACCCGGTGACCCTCTGTCTCCGAGGCTGGGCCGTGTGGAGGGGAGGTAGATCTCTCCACCACACTAGGGTGAAATAATTTTGCTTACATATTTTGCTGGTCCGCTCACTTGTTCCTCTGTAGTGAGCACCAACTCAACAGCTCAGAGCAGAAGTCACAGTCAGGCAAACAAGGGGTGAGACCCAGGGTGGTTTTAAGAGATTGGGAAGCCCTGTGAGAGCCAGAGAATAGGTGGAGAGAAAGGAGGCAGGGGAAGAGAATGAGGCAGGGGGTTAATCTGTGTATTTGAGAACATTAAATACAACACAGCTCTGGGTACAACACACGCACGCATTTCAGTGACTGAGTTCAATGCAATCCACATAGCAGCCCCGCAAATGTTCCTCTAAGCCTGGCCTTGCGGGGAGGGGATGGACTTACCCGCCTGTGGAGCCCCCGAGCCCGTGGGTCCTGTCTCTTCTGTCCAGTACTGGGAGGAGAAGGAGCAGACCCTGCTGCAGTTCCGGAAGACGCAGGTGGACTGTGAGCTGTACAGGGAGAAGATGAGCACACTTCAGGGCCAGGTGGCCGAGCTGCAGAAGGAGCGAGACCAGGTGACCCTAGGAGGGAGGCAGGACAGGGCTGGGGGCGTGGTGCCCCACCCACTGGGCCTCTGTGGCCCCGCTGCCCCATGCTGTGTCTGAGGGGTGCTGCTTCAGGGAAGTCTCAGGCTCCACCTGTTCTTGAGGGTCTCTGGTTCCACATTTCATGGTCTCTTTCCATGGTCCCCATGGGGGTTCTTAACTCCCCCATCCTGCCCTCTAGAGACGTGTACAGCCACCTTCCCTGACATATGCGTGGCAGAGGACAGTGTGAAAGCCCATCCCCAAGAGTAAGTTTTATTAAACCACATACAGCTGGGTGCAGTGGCGGCTGCCTATGATCCCCGCTCTCCTCAGGCTGAGGCAGGAGGAAAGTGAGTTCGAATATTGCCTGGGCAACTAACTTAGCTAGACCCTGTCTGCAAAAGGGCAGGTGCTAGGGATGTAGCTCAGCAGCAGGGAGCTGGATTCAATCCCAGTCCTGGGAAAACAAAACAAAAGTTTTTACAAATTGGAGTGAGCTCTGGTTAGGGTGTGTTGGGTGAGCTCACAAAGAATGTGACAAGTAGAGCCCCTGGGCCCATTGGCCCGGTCCCTTACTGTCTCCACCCACTTGTCCTATCTGTCCTGTCGGGCTATAGGCTTACGCTGCGAGGGACGGGGCCCAGATGGAGATTTCTCAGAGCCTTCTGGAGAAGGACTCCCTCCGCAGGAAAGTCTTCGAGCTCACGGACCAGGTGTGTGAGCTTCGAACTCAGCTGCGCAAGCTACAGGCAGAAGCAGAACCTGTGGCCATGGTGAGTACTACGTGTCCCAGGGTCGGGTATGATGGAGTCTCCCTTCCCTGCCAGGGGTCACCACAGCCCAGCCCTGCCTCCTCACCCTCCACAGGACGCTCCCACATCGACTATGCTTCTAGTATTTGTGTTATGCGCGCGCGCGCGTGTGTGTGTGTGTGTGTGTGTGTGCATGTGCATAAAAGATGGGGGGGGGAGTCACCAAAATGCAAGCTGTGACAATTCTGAGCATGGATGATGGGTAAATTTTATTTTCTTCTCTAATTGGTTCTGTTTCGCTCTCCTTTTCCTATGTAGGTGCACATACATATACTGTATCATAAAGATTGTTTGCATAGCTAGCCAGTAACAGTGTACATTCTCTATAGGAAATGAAATGCTGTTTAGCACATCAGGGGCTTCCAGCTTCCCCGGTGTCCCCTGCTCCAAAGACAGGGACAGAACTGTTTTACCTGGATGCTGCTGAGGGCAGGGATGGCAGGGCAGGTACCCTGGTAGAAAGCCCCCCGCACCCTAGGGGACCCTCTCTCCTGGGCTCACAAGCCTGTCTGGCCATCTCTGGCAGCCCAAGCAGGAAGCTGAGCCCAGGGCGGCCTGTCCACGGGGAAAGCAGAGGCTGGCGCGGATGTACGCCGTGTGCCCTAGGGAAGACACCGACGAGGTACGTGGCTCCTGCCGGGCTACCGTCCTGCGTGTGCAGCCCAGTGTGTGCCCCATCAGTACTGCTGCAGGCTCCCTCCACCCTGAGCCCGGCAGCAGCTCCCGTGTGCTTCAGGGAGCGGGCTCTTCCTGCCTCTCCCAGCCTCTGGCTGCTCCTCACAGTCCTCTGCTTGGGGCTCCTTCCTCCAGTCTCTGTCTCATCTTCATGCGATGTTGTGCCCTGTCTGCGTCCACATTCCTCTCCTCTTAGAAACTGCCAGTCAGGCTGTGTGCAGGGGTGCACTCTGGGAGGCCGAGGTTGGAGGATCGTGAGTCTGAACCTAGATCTGGTGGCTTAGTGATTTAGTGAGATCCTGTCTCAAGATAAAAAACTTTTTGGTACGAGGGATCGAACTCAGGTCCTTGTGCTTGCAAGGCAGGTGGTAGAATCACTGAGCTAAATCCCTGACCCAGATAAAAAACGTTTAAAAGGCCTGGAGAGGGCCAGAGATTTAGCTCTGTGGTGCCACCACCTGCCCAGCAAGCCCAAGGTCCCAAGTTCGATCCCTGGTACCAAAAGAAAAAGGCCTGGCTGTGTGCCGCCACAGCCAGCATGTGGGTCCCTCTGAGCTCCCCTTACAGCCCACTCATGCAGACTGCCTGCCCTCTCTTGGCGCCCTCTCCTGGCTCCCCCTTTGTGGGCTGTGTAGCCTGCTGCTTAGGAGCTCCCTCTGCAGTGTGGTCTGTCTGTCCAGAAGGCGCCACACACACACACCTGGCTCCTCTGCCACTTCCTCCAGGAAGTCTGTCCGCCTTCTGCCCTGCCGGTGTCACCTACATCCCCGGTGTGACCGGCTCCCCTCCTGGTCTGCGTTTGTCCGCTGGTCCCCCAACCTGAGCACAGTGCCTGCCCTCAGGGGCAGGTCCACACCGGCGAAGGCCTCGCATGTGGATTCAGCAAATGTGTTCATATCCACTGTTCTCGTCAGTGTCTGCTGTGGCCTCCAGGAAGCTCCTCACAGCCGGAAGCCCTGCCTCTCTGGGCCTCATTGGCTTTACATGTGACGTGGAACTGAGATGCCCATCTCACACAGGGCTCCTGGGAAGCCATGATACTAAGCCTGGAAGCAGCCCTCAGGGAACGCCTGGCACACAGAGTAGTTCTCAATGCCTGTGCTCTTCCTTACCCTCCCGCGCGGCTCTCTCTTCCAGTCCCACCTCTGGGAGGACCTGAGCGCCACGTCCAGCCGTGAGCCATCCGACAGCTTCCGCTCCAGCAGTCCTGTGCCCCCCAGCCAGCAGTCCCTGTACAAGCGGATGGCAGAGGCCTTCCGGGAAGACCCTGAGTCTTTCAGGTAGAGTGGGATGTAGCTCACGGGGGATCCAGCGAAACCCTGGACCCTCTGGTTGTTGGATGCGGTTGCTCAGGAAAGTGTTGGGGGCTGCAGGCCTTAGACAGAGCAGCCAAGCATCCTGAGCTACCCCCTTGCTTTGCCGCAGCTTCCCAGAAATCCTGGAGGTGGACCCGGGAGTCCCTCCAGGGGAAGATACAGAACTGGGTTACGAGATCCTCGACAAGGCAGGTGGGTGCCCCCCAGCCCACCCGAACCTCTCTGGAGCAGGCCAGGCGAGGGCCCAGAGTGTCAGGGATGTGCAGGAGACAGCCTGGCAGGTAGGAGGAAATGGGACCCATGCCCCAGGCCTTGACCTCAGCTACCAGGAAAGCCAGCCTGCCTGGTGGCTGCATCCCAAACTCATTTCAGTGTTCAGAAATGCCCGCTCCCGGTGCTCTGCTCTGTGGACACTTGGGCCTCCCAGGGTTTCCAGGGCCTCGGGCCTAGGGCCCTAGAAGCTTCCAGCCAATGTCCATGGTGCACACTAACATCCACTCGCCAAGCGCACCCCTCTTCTCAGACCCTGGCCCTGGAGCCTCACACCTCTCCTGGGGCTGATTTCCTCGAACCTATGATTGGGGCTGTCCCTTCTCCAGTCTGAGCGCCCTGAGTGTAGCCTCGTCACCTCTTTTACCGGTACACACCTGGCTCCAGCTTACATTCCAACTGTAAGCTGCTTCTTGACCACCAAGGGTCACCAGCATCCCACATGCTCTGTACCCCTTACCCAGAGAGGGACACAGAAACAGTCAGATGAACAGAGACCTCAACTCTTGCAGACCCATACACATTTTCATTTGTAACAGTGCCACTCAAGGAATATTTAGCGTAAGCCAGTTGTGGTGGCGCACACCTGTAATCCCAGGACTCGGGAGGCTGAGGTAGGAGGATTGCTGTGAGTTCAAGTTCAGCCTGTGTCACAAAGCAAGACTCTGTCTCAAAAAAAAAAAAAAAAAAAAAAGAAAAAGAAAAAGAAAAAAGTGGCCTGCATGTGAGATTATGAATAAGGAAGTTTGTTCCCCTTTATTTTGCTACTCTCAGGACTCTGGATAATACCTCAGCTTCACATCCTAATAGTGGAAAAAGACCTTGAGTATATCCAGAGTGCATAATTCTTTTTTTTTCCCTGGTACTTGGAATTAAACCCAAGGCCTTTGCATTAAGCTACCTCCCTAGCCCTTTTTTATGGTTTTGTTTGTTTGTTTGTTTGAGACAGGGTCTCAGGAAATTGCTCGGGCTGGGCTGGAACTCACAGTCCTCCTGCCTCAGCCTCCCAGAATGGTGGGATCACATGTGTGCATTCCCATGCCCAGCTTACTTGGCTTTAATTGGATTTTTGGCTATGAGTCGGGCCCAGGCCACCTGTTTCTCACAGGCAGTCCCCGGGTGAGAAGCGCAGCCTCCGGCCTCTGTGGGGGCTGCCCCTGCTCTGTTCTTGCATACTAGGCTGCCATTAATATGCTCCAGCCTGGGAGCTCCACCCTGGAGCCAGTGATTACTGTTGTGTAAAAACACAGGCCCGCCCGTGCAGGGCTTACAGGCCCAGTCATGCCAGATTTGACTTTTCAGTGAAACTGGAAATCCAGATTCTTCCTGTCTTTGATTGAAGACACTGGCAACTCATTCAAATGTCACGAAAGGGCACACGCAGCTGTCACTACTCTGAGCTTAGGAAAGGTGAAGTTAAGGTGATCCACTCAGAGGAAAGGAAGGAGGAGGAGGACATTCTGTCTCAGCAGAGGAGGGGCCGGGGGAGTGCACACAATGGCAGGGAGGGGCTGTGGGGTTACAGAGGTGGCAGTGGTGACCACGAGGCCTGGCCGCTCAGCTCCTGCTTTCCTCCCAGACCTCCCCGAGTCCGAGGGCAGCCTGCAGTACTTTTCCAGGAGCCTCAACATAACAGAAAGGTGAGTAGTGCAGCCTCTGCTGGAGAAGCAGAGTCCAGAGGTGACTGCGGAGTGTGACTGTGTCTCCTCACCACAGGGACATGACAGCCTTTCCAAGATGGGGTGTGGTGGGAGAGAATTCAAGGACAGAGGGGCCGAAGGGGAATGACCTGGCCCCATGCCTGCCTGGGCAGTGCCGAGCGGCCATCTGTCCCTGCAGCAGCATCCCCGCCACTGTGCGGCGCAGGCCAGCGCGCAAGATCCTGAGTCAGGTCACAGTGCTGGCGTTCCAGGGGGCCGCGCTGCTGGAGCAGATCAGCGTCATCGGCGGGAACCTCACAGGCATCTTCATTCACCGGGTCACCCCAGGATCGGCAGCAGATGAGATGGCCTTGCGCCCAGGCACCCAGATCGTGATGGTGAGCAAGCAAGGCCTGGTAGCCAGGACTCCCCGGGTCCTCCTGAGGGCAGGTGTGCAGCCTGGTGTCCCACACCGTCTCGGGCTGATGGGAAGGGCTGCATTCTCCTATAGAAGCGGGTGTGAGAGCTGAGTGTGGTGTGCACGCCTGCAGTCCCAGCACTCTGGGGGGCTGGAGCAAGAGAATCAAGATTGGGAGCCCAGGCTGGGCAACTTAGCTTGTTGAGACCTTGTCTCAAAATGTAAAAAAAAATTGGCCAGGGATTTAGCTCAGTGGTGCCACCGCCACCTGCCTCACAAGCATAATGTCCTGAGTTCAATCCCCGGTACCAAAAAAAAAATTTTTTTTGAAATGTCAACCAGTTCTGGGGATGTAGTTCAGTGAGAAGACCCTGGGGTCTATCCTGAGACAGAGAGCACGATGGTTGCCATGGAGAATCTGTCCTCCGTGGGGAAGGGAGAGATGAGCAATGAGTCTCGGGCAGAAACTTGTGCTGGGCACCCATGCAGCACGCAGGGGCTACGTAGCTGTCCTGGTGAGGGCTCTGATCTTGCGCACATGGCGGCCAGGGACAGTCAGAAGGTTTTACAGTAGGGCCGCCTGCACCTGCCGCAGCATCCTGAATGCAAGCTGTGACTGTAGAGTCCTGGTCATCAAGACCTTTGCCCTCACACTTTGCCCTCAGGTGGACCATGAGGCATCAACACCCTCGTTCAAGGGCACCCTGGAGAATATCACCCTGGAGCAGGCGCTCAGGCTTCTCCGCAGGGTGACCGGCTTCTGCTGCCTGTCCGTGAAGGTCAACACTGAGGGTACAGGCACCTGCCTCTTGTCCAGTCCATCTCGGACCTAGCTGTGTCACACCCCACCCGCCTGCAGCCAGGAGCAGCCTGATCAGGCTGTGCCCCACTCCTGGGATCCCCAAGGCAGCTGGGAGCCCCCCACCTGCTAACTCCAGCACCACAGAGCAGCTTCCGAGACTTTGGGGAGCTCTTCTTTCCCACCCACACTCACCTTCTAGAACTTTTCTTGTGTGGGCTCAGGGGTCTGTGCTCCTTGGACCTTTGGATTTGTTTGTTTGTTTGTTTGTTTATCAGGTTATAAGAAGCTGGTCCAGGACCTGGAGGCCAAAGTGGCAACCTCAGGGGACTCGTTCTACATCCGGGTCAACCTGGCCCTGCAGGGGAGGGCCGAGGGGGAGCTGCAGGTATATTGCAATGACATCCTGCACATCACCGACACCATGTTCCAGAGCCGCAGCTGCTGGCATGCACACCGCATCAACCCATACACCATGAAGGCTGCAGAGCATGGCACCATCCCCAACTACTCGCAGTGAGCAGCTTCCCTGATCTGTGTGTCCCCAAAGAGGCCCACGGTATAGCACCTGCCAGGCCTAGCTCCATGGGGCCTCCGGAGGCTTCTCTCCTACCCAGGAACAAAGGGTGGGAGGATGCACCCCCACAGAGGGGGGTCCCATCGTGACTACTGCTGCAGACTGGGTGCTTGTGGCAGGTTCTCTGGCTCAAGGGCACTGACCTCAGGTCCTTCTAGATGGATGCTTCTCAGGCAGTTCACATCTGGTGTGGAACCAGGCACCGCAGGATGTTGGCAGCATCCCTGGCCTTCCCACCCACTAGATGCCAGTAGCACCTGCTCCCAGCTGCAATAGCCAAAAATGTCTCCGTACATGGCCAGTGTCCCCTGAGTGGAGGGAACCAGTCCTCCTAGTTTGCTCAGGACTAAAAGCCCCATGTCTGGGACAACTCCTTTGTTCTGGGCAGACCGAGCCCGGTGCTTGGACCCCTGGGTCCAACAATGCATTGAAACATTGTTCTAGGCTCAAAGGTCCAAACGCTCAGAGGAGGCCATGCAGCCCAGCCCTGCACCCCTCCATGACCAGATTAAAACTTGAGTGCCCAGGAGAGGCTGCAGTGCCTGCTGTCGGCCTCGCCCATACTGCAAGAATCAAGGCTCGCAAGCAGGTTCCAGGGCCACTTCTGAGCAGCTAAACTAGCATCCGCAGGAGTGGGTTGAAGATTTGGTGTCTTTTCCAAGCCCCTGGGACTCTGAGGGCTGCCAGGGTGTGGGGCGCCCCTGTCCAGAGCCACTTTCCTTGCCCAGTGCTCTTGGCCAAGGCAACTCCAGCATTGGTTCAGGGCCACTCCTGTCCACACAGGGCTCAGCAGCGCCTCATCTCCCTCATCCAGGACATGACTCAGCAGTGCTCTGTCATCCGAAAGGTGAGGCTCCAGGGAGGATCCTGCCTCCTGGGGTGGGCTGGGAGGGAGCTGGCCAGGGTCCTACCTGGAAAGCATGAGCGTCCATCTCTCCAGGGGCCCCCACCAGCCTTGCTGAGGTCTGCGCCCCTCACCCAGCCTGCAGGTTGGGTCCTGCTCACCAAAACTGCTGCTTCCGGGTATCCTGTTCTCCTGTTCTTTCCCTGCTCTCATTTCCTCGAAAGTCAGGCACCTGTGCTGTTGGGATGGGTGCTCTGCTGGCTGCTGAGTGCTCACCTGTTCCGTGCCGGGACTGTCCTTTGTGCATCATGGCAGTGCGAGGCTGTGGGGTCCTTGTGCTGCCTTCTGACTTCTGCAGACTGAGCCTGACTGAGGCTGTCTCCTGAGGACCCTCTCCTGCCTCCTACCCTCTGGCACCAGCTCTGGGCATCTGCTCAGGGCGTAGCCTGACAGTGCAGGGACCATGCTGATTTTCTTATGGGGTGGATGCTACTGATGGCCTCAGCTGCCCTCCTTGTCCTCTTCCGCCCCACCTTTGGCAGTCTTCCGTGGGCCCACAGAAGTTGGTGCGCATTGTGAGCCTGGACAGAGCCAGTCCCTCAAGGTCGTCCTGTGAGGAGGGCCAGGTGGACCCCAGCGGGGTAGAAGGTGAGGCCTGGTGAGGGGCCCCGGGGACTGGGCCAGAGGTGAGGGCCTTAGGGAGCCACTGCTGGTGGTCAGCTTGTTCAGGTGAGGCCCCTCCCACAATATAATTGATGTCCCTGTGCCTTTCTGGACAGCAACTGAGCAGAGTATCTTTGATGGCCTTTAAGCCATCACTCCCTGTTTGTTTTGTTTTGTTTTTGAGACAGTGTCTCATTATGTAGCCCAGAGTGGCTTTGAACTTGCACTGCTCCAGTGTTCCATAGGCATGCACCAATGGGCCCGGCTAAATTTGCCTGCTTGCTTTCTTTCTTTTTTCGATTTTTATTAGTACATGCTTGCAATACATAATGAGTACGTTCCTCACGGGGGTGTTGGCACATGTACACACCACTTCTTAGTTTTTCATCCCCTTCCCTCTATCACCCTCCCTCCCTCTCTTCTTCCTTCTCCTCATCCCACTGTGGTGCTTGGGATGGAGTCCAGGGCCTGGCCCTCACTAGACAAGCGCTGTACCCCAGCTCTACCCCAGCTCTGATGCTCCTGCAAAATAGTCCAGAAATCGTCCCTACAGTTACATCATCAGCACTCTTCCTGGACCAGTAACACCTGAAAACTGCCCAACATTATAAAAACCAATGGACCTTGGGCCAGGGATGTAGGTCAGCGGTGTGGCACCTGCCTGGCAAGCACAAAGTCCTGAGTTCAATTTCCGATAGCAAAAAACAAAACAAAACAAAACAGCCAAACCAGTGGACCCCTGGGAGGCTGAGTAACCAGTGTGTGCACAAGGTAAAGATAGAGGTCAGAGTAGCAGAGTCCTCACAAAACAAGAAAAATTGCCTATGGAAGAGGTGAAATTAGAGGAATGTAAATCATTAGAGTTTATGTTCCCCTTCAAGGTTTGTTTTTGTTCTTGTTTTTGGCGCATAACATGACCGCTTTGAAAACAGTAGAGCAACGTAAAAACTCCAGAGGAATCCACGGCCAGGCAGGGAGGAAGGCGGGGCCTGTGCCCGGTGGGGGGGCCGGTCCAGCAGTGGGCGGAGCAGAAGGAGGGTGTGGTCGAGGTGGGCGGGGCTGAGGGTGGGAATCGAGGCGGGTTTGTTTTTGTTCTTGTTTTTGGCGCATAACATGACCGCTTTGAAAACAGTAGAGCAACGTAAAAACTCCAGAGGAATCCACGGCCAGGCAGGGAGGAAGGCGGGGCCTGTGCCCGGTGGGGGGGCCGGTCCAGCAGTGGGCGGAGCAGAAGGAGGGTGTGGTCGAGGTGGGCGGGGCTGAGGGTGGGAATCGAGGCGCGAGCCAGACAAGGATGACAGAATAAGCTGCAGCCTGCAAGGAAGCAGGACGTGAAAAGCCACCGAGCGTTTCATCAGCGGGCCTAAGGGACTCGCCGGCCGGTGGCTGTGGGGTGCAGGAGTAGTCCTCTTGGAGCTCAGGGCGTTTATTACTAGGCGCTGGGCCGCAGCCCTCCGGAGATCTGGCCCTGCTCAGGCCTAAGGGACTCGCCGGCCGGTGGCTGTGGGGTGCAGGAGTAGTCCTCTTGGAGCTCAGGGCGTTTATTCCTAGGCGCTGGGCCGCAGCCCTCCGGAGATCTGGCCCTGCTCCCTGCCGCAGCCCGCAGCCCGCAGCCCGCAGCCCCGCCGCTCAAGCCCCTCTCCTCCGCAGACCACGCCAGCGTGTGCTTCTGGGCAGAGAGCTGCTTCACCCTGGCGCCCTACACCCAGGTGCACCCCCACAGGCCCAGCCGGCCCCGGCCTGTCATCTTCTCGCCCAGGATAGTAGGGAAGATCCTGAGCAGAAAGCTGTGCCTCCTCCAGGGATTTAAGAAGTGCTCCGCAGGTACACTCTACCCTGTGAGGCGTGGGTGTGCACGTTCTGTGAAAGGGCACAGGACTCTGCCTGTGTGTGTATGTCGGCACGTGTTGGTGTGTGGCACATGCTGTGTGTGCGTGCGCAGGGCCCAGCCAGGCCTTTCAGACGGTTCCTCCGCCTTCAGGGGAGTAGCACGCTGGTTCCTCTGCGTTTCCTAGGGCTGCTGTTAACAACCACCGCGGCCTGGAGAGTTTGAAGGACAGAAAGTAGTGTCGCGGGGTTCTGGAGGGCAGACATCGGCCCCCGAGGTCACAGGACCATGCTGTCTGGGGCCAGTGCAGTGTCTCCTTGCCTCTCCCAGTGACCTTGGCATCCCTTCACCTGGCTGCGTCGATCCACACAGCCCAACAGTCGTGGCCTTTTTCCTCCTGTGTCCCTGTGTCACCAAATGGCCCACCCTCATCCAGTGTGGCCTCGTCTGGCATTCTGCGAAGACCCTATTTTCTAGTAAAGCCTCTCCCGAGATCTGAGTGGACACAAATGAGGCGCGTCATCCCATACAGCACAGTCACGCTGGAGCACGGGCTCACCTGGGTAGCACAGCAGGACGGCACAGGCGCGGGAGCATCTGCTCAGGAAGACTTGGGTTGAAGAGGGGCCTGGTCTGCTCTGAACGACCACAGAGGAGCAGATGAGGGAAGTGAGGTCCAGGAAGTTCCTCATCAGGGCACCTACCACGTGCAGAGGCTTGGTGGGGCAGCTGGAGATGCTGAGTCCGAGAGGCCCCTGAGGGGCTCTTTTAGAGGCAGGTGCCTGAAGCCAGGTGAAACGGCACACACCTGTGATCGCAGCACTCTGGGAGGCCAAGGCAGGAGGGTCACGAGTTAGAGCTCAGCCTGGGCAACTTAGCAAGAACTTGTCTTAAAATAAAAATAAAATAAAGGTCTGGGGATATATCACGGTGCGAAAGCCTTAGGTTCAATACCCAGTAAGGAAAAAGAGACAGAGGAAGAAGGAGGGGAAGGGAAAAAAGGGGGGCTGGAAAGAAAGAGCTGCCTGAGCACAGATGGGAAGGCTGACGGGATGAGCCCGCACAGGCTCAGCAGGAGCTGCAGGACAGGCCAGAGAAGGAGCGAAGGAGTCTGGGAGGCGCAAGGACTAAGCTGGGATCGGGCAGACAGGTAGCCGCTGGTGAGCAGCCGAGGCTGTTGCAAAGGCCAGAGCAGCTGCAGGTGGGCCTGGGTGAGGCTGCGGTGGCAGCAGCAGTGGGCCAGATGTGCCGTTTCATATGATACCCAGGGAGTTGGTGGCCATTTTAAAAACGAGAATAAACATCAGGCACTTCTACAAACACTCATCTGGAAGGCAGGGTGAGGGTGGCTGGAATAAGGGCCCAGCTAGGGACCGGCACCTGGGGCCAGCAGAAGTGCTGGCAGAGCCATCCTGGGAGGAGAGGTGACCCAAGACCTGTGCCAGCCAGAAGGCCAGGATCAATGCATCCAGGAGGGCAGGTCCAGAAGCAAGAGGACCTATTCAGGAAAAGGCAAAAGCAGGGCATCTCCCTCAGGTCTGTTTGGGGCAGGGTCCTCAGACTCCATGCTAGGGTGTCTGAGAAAGGATCTTGCTCTGTTGTGGGGGGCTGTCCTGAACTGGGGTGTCTGGCAGCATCCCCAGCATCACCCACTAGCTGCCACAGCAGACCCCCTCCCACCGCCACTATTTATGCCAAGTGAGAACGTCTCCAGATTCTTTCTGCCGGGTGTCCCCAGGGCTCAAAGTTGCCCACAGACGAAAGCAGTGACTTCAGGGACCCCTGTGGAGCTGGCATATGACCACCCACTCACTGTTGCTTCCAGAGTACCTGAGCCAGGAGGAGTATGACTCCTGGAGCCAGAGAGGGGACATCATCCAGGAGGGAGAGCCGTACGGTGGCCACTGCTGGGTGACCCGCCAAGCTGTGGAGTCGCTCATGGAGAAGGTATGGGATGGCCCCAGAGGCTCTAGGGACAGCAGCTCCTCTGGGGCCAGGGCAGGATTCAGGGGAAAGTGTCTGGGGCCCAGGACACCCCAACGTGGGGCTCAGTGGGAGGGACGTGCAAAGTCCAAGCCTTGTTTTTGCCATTTGGGATCCATGTGATCTCAGTCCTTATGCCTCATTTCCTCAGTCAGATGTTTAGTAAGTGTCTACTAAAGAATGAATGGAGCGGAGACAACCACACTCATGTTTAAAGACTCTTGTATATGAAAGACTCCTGCTCTGAACTGTAGCTTCGTATTACTCAGTGCGGGAGCAGGTCTAACCCTGTGGAGGGGACGGCACTGGAGCTGTCCGCTTCCTTGTTTGTGCTCCATGCAGTCTGCCTCAATCCCACAGGCTTGCAACTCTAGGTCTTCATTTCGGGGGCTGTCAGCTATCAAACAGCTGGAAGCCCTTAAGGCCATACGGCAAGCGCACAGAGCCAGAGTGGCAGTCTCATCCGCATCTCCGTTATCTCCCCTCTCCCGGTCCTGCTCCAGCCTGGCCCACACGGCCCCCCTGGCTCTCTGAGGCTGAGGCCCACCAGCTGGGCTCACTTCATCTTCCTTTCCCCCCAAAGAATACCCACGCCCTGCTGGATGTCTGGCTGGACAGCGTCTGTGTCCTGCACAGGATGGACATCTTTCCCATCATCGTCCACATCTCCACCAATGAGAAGACGGCAAAGAGACTCAGGTAGGCTCCCGCCAGGACTGGGCAGCTGGGTTTGGACGGGCACCTGAGTTCTGGTGGAGCTCAGCACGTGCCTCCAGTGTGCACTGAGGGGCTTCTTCTGGACCCACGCTGCTCCTGCCTCTGAGGTGCAGAGGGCACCCTCGCCTCCACCTCTGGACAAAGTCCCTCTGCCCTAACTCCAAGGCCACACAGTTTCCGGCACTGTCTCTCCATGAGGACCCAAAGTACTGAAAACTACTCCTGCACTTGGTTTCTGGCTAGGACAAGCAGAGTCCTAGCACACTTATACTCTGGGGAGCGAATCTCTGTTCTAGACACCCTGCCCCCACCAGTGCAATGCCATCTGGAGCTAGGTCCTAGCTCCCTCGAGGTGGGCTGATTGTGTCGCATCCAGGGGTTTTGGGTAGGTGCCGATGTGCCTCCAGCCTGGGCTCTGTCCTGGGCAGCCAGGCGTGGTGGCTTTCCCAGCCAGCCTCTTTCCCTGAGGCCCTACCATCTTGCTGCGCAGGAAGGGCCTGCAGCGGCTCGGGATCTCAGAGGAGCAGCTCCTGGAGGCCTCCAGGCAGGAGGAGGGGGAGCTGGACAGAGTGCCCTGCCTGTACAGCAGCCTGGCCCCTGACGGCTGGAGTGACCTGGACGGGCTGCTGGGCTGTGTTCGCCTGGCCATTGCGGACGAGCAGAAGAAGGTGGTGTGGACAGCAGAGAGCCCCTGATGACAATGTCTCGCCCCTCCTGAGGCTGTGGGACCTCTATATGCCCATTAATGCTGCTTTTCCTCTGAGCCAGGGCCTTGGGCACAGCTGGAGCTGCCCAGCCCACAAGCCCAGCTCTTCTCCCTTGGGGTCTAACCGTACACCCTCACCCCGCATGGGTCCTAAGCGGTCAAGTCCCCGTACCCGCTCACCCTGTGTGTAAGCCACTGCCACCCTTTGCCAGGACTGGGTATGGGCTTCCTGGGGCGCCAAGAACATCTCTGCAGTGTGTGCGGGGCGCTTCCCAGGCCTCCCCAGACCTCCCGGGACACCTGAACAAATGTTTGGTCTGACTGGGAGGGCTGCTCCTTCCTTTCACGTTCAAGGTGTCAAAGGGCACCTTTTGAGCCAACTGGAGCCACTGCCCCAGCCCAAGACAGGCGCAGAGCTGTGCAGCGTGACCCCGGCTGGCTTTTCTCAGTTCCTGATGGCTCAGAGCTGCTTCAGTGCCGCTCAGCCACAGACACCTGCGTGTTCACTTGTGAACCGAGTCCCTGTGATGGCGCAGCATACCCACAGGTCTGTACCTTGTGGCCTCCACGCCTGGCTCTGGGGACCATAGGATTGTCCTGAGAGATGCCTGACAGGACCAGCGGTCTTCTTGGTCTGCAAAACTGTGACCCCCCAGCCCTGTCTGGGCCCTGCATCTTCACCCCACCTCTGGGGTGTGGGAGCAACTCTGCTCATGCCGGTGAGCGCCCCCATGTGCCCTTGACTCCCGCCCATTTCGTGCTGTACACACTGGACATCATTCTCAGTGTCTCTGTGTTAGGGTGTAACCCTAGGGTTCAAGTTGCTATTGTCATCAATGAATTAAGTAAATAGACTTATATTTTACTAAAATAAAGAGATTCTACAGTGCTGGGGCCCGTGGCCTCCTGTCCAGCCCCAGTTTGGAGTTGGTGGGAGAGAAAAGGAGACGGAGCCCAAACTAAAGGAAGAGAGCCTGCTGCCTGGGTTTCTCCAGGCCGAGCTTCTGCTCCCATGGCAGTGGAGGCAGGGCAAGGTATGGAGTCAGACACTGGTGTTGCACAAGGAACCCCAGCCGCAGGAGGAGCATGCTCCCACCTTCACCCTCAGTTACTCTTAGAAAGGATGAGTGCGGATGAACACGGGTGCAAACTCGTACTGCTGAGAACTGGTGAGAACCCTGCTGGGCATACCTCCTGGGTAGGGCTGATGAGGGCAGGCAATGCGGCTGGGTCTGAACCTGCACGGACCAGGTGGCTAAAGGCCACACAGCACAAGAAGGCTCAGCCTCCTCTGGGTGAAGGGCTCAGAAACACCTGCCAGTTCTAGACTTAAGAGCATCTCAAACCCCCATCCCTGCCCCTCCATCTGCAGATCACCTCTCTGAAAGCAGGGGCTGGAAGATCTCACCCTGGCCCCTCCCGAACTTCTGTCTCAGCATACAGCTCAGACGCGAGGCCAGCACTGTCCCCTGAGATGGCACTAGCTGGAGAGGGCCTGGGGACCACGTGTGGGTTTCTCCTTTAGGAGAGGCAGGAAGGACACCCCGTACGTCAAGGAGCCACTTCAGACAGGAGCACGGAGGAGCAGAAGGGCTGGGCAGGTGCCCCAGGGACCATCACAGCTCGTTGTGCAGTGGCCGGCACTGTGGAGAGAGCTTTTCTTCCAGGACGCCGTCGGGGGCACACACCCAGGGGTCATGGGTCTCCCACTGCCATTTGGCCAGGCGGGTCTTTAGCATCTCCAGCACCTCTGCAAAGTGGGGGTCAGCGGCCAGGTTGTGGGTCTCCTGGGGGTCACGGCTGTCATCGTAGAGCTCCCAGCGCTCCCGGTAGTAGTAGTGGTGTAGGTCTTTGTACCAGCCGGTAGGCTGGCCAGCCAAGGTGCGGTTCAGGAGGTCCTGAAAGGTGGGCGAGACGTAGAAGTCCTGGTCCACAGGAAACGGCATCCTGAAGCTGAGGTTATGCACAAGGCGGAAGTTCTGGTGGTACACGGCGCGCATGGGGTAGGACATGGTGACCTCATGGTGGCTCTGGCTGCCGAAGATGGTAGCCCAAGGGGGCTCTGTCTCTAGTGCTGGCAGGAGTGACCGGCCTGTGAGCCGGACAGTCTTTGAACCAAAGATGGCATACTTGGGGTAAGGGATGGTGAACCAATCCAAGATGGTAGGTGTGAGGTCTGCAAAGGAAACGTGTCACAGTGAGGTTGCTGTGGGGCACTGGAGCCTGCTCTGGAAGGGCTGAGTCTAAGCCCCTCACAGCAGGGACTGCTGCCTGCACTGACCCCCTACAGACCTGGTCATCTCAGGGGCCCTGATCTGGTAGGAGTTAGGGTCCCAGACAGGGAAGGCTCTACTCTGTGCTGTGGTCACAGTGCTCCCTGGCATGTGCGTGGGGCCAAAGGGACTGGTGGGCCCCAAGCTGGAGGGAACCCACTGGTCTGAGTGGGGCACAGTGCACTTCTGCCAGGGCCACAATCGCCCAACCTCCCAGTTTCCCATGCCTGTGGTCTGTCTGCTTGCGGGCAAGGAGGTCTAGACAACCCCAGGCCTTCTGAAATGCACAGGGTCACAGGGGACCTGGGAGCACAGGAAAGCAGGACAGGATACTGGTCCGGGAGAGAACGGTCCCCAGGCCCAAAGCACCAGCCCCATCTGGGAACCTGCCAGCCACTCTAGGGGCTGTGATTCAGGCATTGCCAAGTCACCCAGATGATTTGAATGCTCATCCCTGAGACAAGGGGCTCTCTTTCTTGTCCTCATGGCAGAAGCATCACTCGAGATCGGAGCAAGGCCTGGTACAAGGCAGTCTGACCATGCTCCCCTCCCCCTCCCACGTAACAGAACCATACCTAGGAGGCTCACGTAGGCCTCGCTGACCTGGCCCCAGCGCTTCAGGTGCTCCGGGGATGACACCAGCAAGGGCTCCGCGGTCCCCGGCCGGTACAGGTTGGTCCTGCCGCTGGGGAAGGGGATCCCGTTGTCCGATGTGAAGATGACCAGTGTGTCATTCAGGACGCCGGCGCCACGCAGCTCCTGCAGCACAAGTCCAATCCCTGCGGAGTGGAGGGGCCGCGGGCGGGCTCAGCCACAGACGCGAGAGAGAGTGGCTTGGGCACGTGTGTCCTCTCTCCACTTTGCCATCTGGCTGCTGGGCTCTCCTTCTGGAGCTCAAGATACCAGCCCAGGTCGCCTCCCCAAACCATCCAGCTCTGCGACCTCGAGCAGGGGGCGTGGGCCTCCAGGGACCTGGCCACCCCCCAGTTCTGGTCATACCCAGGCAGCCCCAACGGCCCCACGCCAGTCTCTGTTTCCTGGAATGTCATGCCTGTCCCGTGCAGCAGAGGATCATTCTAGGCAGGGGCTGGAAGGGAGGATCTCGACTCCCCCTTCCCAAGGCTCCCCTAACTAATGGCACCAACAGAGGCACGACAGACACCAACCTCCTGCAGGGAGCTGAATGGTGCACACCCCTACATATCTATCCGGGACCTGCAAATGTGACCAGTTTGGAAAAAGGGACTTTGCAGAAGTAAGTTAAAGATCTTGGGATGAGATCATCCTGAAGTGTCTGGGTGGCCCCAAGTCCTATGACCGGAGTCCTCAGAAGAGACACAGACAAAAGAGGAAACAACACACAGCAAAGAAGTCATGTGAGGATGGAGCAGAGGCTTCAGTGACATGTTGCAAGCCAAGGGACTCTGGAGGCTGCTACCTCCAGCTGGAAGAGGCAAGAAAGGTCCTCCATTCACACTTCCAGCCTCCACAATCACGAAGGGTGAAAGGCCTGCTATTTTTAAGTCCCAAGTTTGGGGCACGCTGTTGTGGGGGCTGTAAAAAACAAACCCCTTCATGCGGCTCCTGTGTTCTACATCTGCATAATCTACACAACTCCAACCCCCGACCTGATCCAGACTCCTTTACCGAAAGAGCACTTGGAATCTTCACCCAACCTGTGCCGGCCCGGGAGCAATTCTACAGCACAGCCCACCTGGGAGTTGTCCTCTGAATGCATCTGCTCAACCCAGGGTACGGCTGTCCACACGGACCCTCTGCTACAGTTTAGATGTAAAACACCCTCCAGTTTGTGTCCAGAGGGAGGGCTTCTGGAAGGCGCTATACTCCATCCGTGGATTAGAACACTGATTGGTTTAGAGCTGAATGTGCGTTCGGGGATGGGGCCTAGTGAGGGTGTGGCCTGAAAGGAAACCTCATGACCCTGGCCCTTCTCTTCCCTCTGCTTCCTGGCTGCCATGGGACGAGCAGCTGTCCCTTCTTGGGCCTCTCCATCATGTCCTCTCTGCCTTGGAGCCAGCAGATGGACTGAGCCCCCTGAAAACTAGAATCAAGTAAAACTCTCCTCCTTCACATTGTGGGTGTTGGGTATTCTGTTCCAGTGATAAAAAAGCTAATATACCCTTGCTCACACCCTGCCGCTGGTGGGACCCGCCTAGGTTCAACCCTATGTAGCTGGGCCCCTGGCCTAGGGTGGGGACAGAAGCCTTGGCATTCCCTCACTGCAAACTTCCTGGAGCTTACCTTGGTCCATCCGGCCGATGGTGGTGTACTGAGCAGCCAGGTCAGCTCGGGCTGCTGGGGTGTCGGGGACAAAGTAGGGCACCTGGGAAGAGCAGGCAGGGGGAAAGTCAGGCTTAGAACAGACAGAGCGGAATGAAGGAAGAGACCCACCCTTGAACCAGGGCAGGGGGAGGTGCCAGGGCTGTCCTGTAGGCCTGCCACCATCTTCCTTTTGTGAACAGTTTAGCCAGGGCCGCCTACTCTGGATGCTTCACTCTGAGCCTCCAGGGCTTTCGGTGACCCCACAGAGGGGGACGGGGAGCCATCTAGTTAGGGGGTCTCCTCTAACATGTTAATGTCACAAGCATTTTGGGCCAGGGCCGTCCTTGGTTTAGGGCTGGCAGGGGGTTCTGGAAACATGGCAAAGGTCCCTCCTACCACCACATCCTGAGGGTCGTAGGTCTGGGGTGTCCAATCCGGTATATGCCCCATGCCGCTCTCCCCGTTACCAAACTTCTCACAGAAGGCTCCGTACTGGGGCTGAGAGTGCCCACAGCGGTGCGGGTCATGAAAGGCCACATACAGGAAGAAGGGCCTGGATGGGAGGGGGACTCTGATCAAGGTCAAGGTCAGCCGAGCTGACCCTCCTGCCTGACTTAGCCAATGCCTTGACATTCTACCCTGGGAAATCCTCTTGTGGTTTGGGGATTGGACCCAGGCTCTCCACATTGAGTTATACCTCCTGCCCTTTAAAAATTTTTTAAATTTTGAGACAGGTTCTAAGTTGCCCAGGCTGAGCTCAAGCCGACATTCCTCCTGCCTCAGCCCCTCAGAGTGCCGGGATTACGGGCGTGCACCACCACACCTGGAACTCACAGTGATCCTCCTGCCCCAGTCCCCTGGGTGCTGAGATTTCAGGTGTGCACCACCATGCCTAGCTCAATCCTCTGTTTTGCCTACTGCTGGGATCCCTTCTTCCTCACTAGACTAATGTGGGTATCCACAATCTTCTCCCCGACCCATGCCATCCCTATTGAAGACACACATGGTCGCTGGCTGTGGGGAGGTTACTAGGCAGGGGCACCCTGCACCTGTTATCCTGAGTCTGCAGGAATTTCCGGACGAGCAGCTTAATTCTCGTGATGTTCCTCCCCACCTGGAGCACGGAGCCGTTCTCCTCCGTGTAGGCGAAGTCGAATGGGTACACGGCCTCTGGCCCCACGTGTTTCTTCCCGATGATGCCTGGGGGCGGGTGGAGGAGGCCCACACAGATTTTGCCCTGCCCTTTCTCTGTCCTAAATCCTAACAGTGCTGGGGCTGCCCCTCTCCTCGCCCTTGGCAAGTCAGAAGCTCCCAGCCCGGGTCTTGGGGACAAGTGGAGAAGGAGTAAGAGTGGCTCAAAGGCAGGGGCACCTCCAGGGTCCTCAGGGTCCCCCCTCACCTGTGCGCACACCGGCCAGGCCGAGCAGCAGCGGCAGGCTCTGTACCTTGTCAAAGGAGTTGAAGTGGTGCACGTCCTGGTGCAGCCCATACATGCCGTTCTGGTGCTGCGGGCGAGGGCTCTGTGAGGCTGGGCCCACAACCCCGGCCATGTGCCCAGCAGGCACAGCAGGGCAGGAGCAGAAGAGACAGAGCCTGTGGATGCGCCCCAGCCAGAGGGGTGGCTTTTATTTTCTTCTGCGGATGCATCTGTACCTCCTGACTTTTGTATCACAATCACAGTGTACAATGGAAGAGACAGCAGTTTTGCTGTTTTCATTTCCTGGTTATTTCACATGGTTAAAGAGATCATCATACCACTAAAACTCAAAGGGAAGAGCAGCTTCCCAATTCCGCAGCCAACTGCCTGGAAGTGGCTGCTCCATGGCACTTTCTGCTCAGCCCCAGCCCCTCGTGGAGTCTCTCAGGGGAGAAGACACGTGGAGAAGCAGGGGCTCTGCACCCACCCTCCCAACAGTCCTCTTCACGACATCCAAAGGCAGCAGTAGCCCAAGCGTGCACCGCAGAAGGACGGAGAAGCAAAGTGTGGCTCGTCCCTAAGAGGGGATGGGATTCTCCCGAAAAAAGGGAATTCCAAGTCCCGCCACAGTGTGAATGAATACTGAGGCCACAGTGCTCAGTGGAACAGCCAATCGTGAAGCAGAAAATGCCATCTCACTCTGCTACGGTCCCCAGAATTGTCAAACTCAGAGACACAGAGCAGAACGAGGGATGCCAGGGGCCAAGGGAGGAGAAATTAGTGCTTAGGGGGCAGGTTTCAGCTTGGGAAGATGAAAAGGTTCTGGAGGTGGACATACAACAATATAACTGCGCTCAGTACCACTGACTGCACGTTTAAAAAGGGCTGAGATGGCACATCATGTAATGAGTATTTCATAGTGAAGGGCACAAGTGCCTTACCAGAGCAGCTCTCACTGCCCGGGAGGGTCCACGGTGCTTCCGGCTTCACGCACAAGCCATGCTCAGCCAACCCAATAGTGACCCTATGGGTGACACCTTACTGTGCCCTCCATTTTACAGATGAGGAAACTGAGGCAGAGGGAGACGCTGGAGAAGCATGGAACCAGATCCGTGATGTGTGGGGAGGTCGGCCGGGGTCTGCAGGGCAGAGCGGGCGGGCAGCCCCCCTCCCGGGGAAGTGGAATTCCCTGCAGCAGGGCGCTGGGCCCTCTCTTGGCTCAGCTCACCTGGGGCAGGCCGGTGAGGAGGCTGGCGCGGCTGGGGGAGCAGCTGCTGACGGAGGTGAAGGCATTGCGGAAGGTGAGGCTGCGGCGTGCCAGGGCATCCAGGTGGGGGGTGGCGATGGCGCTGTTGTTGTACACGCCACTCTCGAAGCCACCATCGTCTGCTGCGGAGGGCAGAGACAGACAGGGTTCGGTGGGCTTGGGTCAGGAGGACCAGCCTGTGGGCGAGACCTGGGATCCTGCTGCAAAGGCTTGGGCCGGTGGCACCCTGAGTGGGTGGGACTCCAGGCAGTGTGACAGTGAGGGAGCAGGCTAGTGCAACACCTGACACAATACTTAGGCAGGCATGGTGTGCTGGGGGGCACGGTACTCCAGCAGGCATGCTACCTGGGGTACATGAACCCCAACAAGCCTGAGAGCCACACAGGCATGCTACCTACTGTGCACGGTACCCCAGCATGTCGGCAGGTGGGTGCTGACCCGGTGCATGCTGGGCAATCCCGGGCAGTGGCCAGGAGAGCTGTGCCCAGAGCAGTCTGAGGATCTGCACATGTGCCTCTCGCTAACACACAGTCCCTTCCCCAGGGCCCTGGGGTCCTTCAAGATTGTCTAGTTCAACCTCTCACCATGTACAGAGCAACGAAGCCCAGGGAGGTGAGGTGTAGTGCCTGAGGCCACACGGCTGGGGAGCGGGGTATGGGGACAGGTCTCCTGGCTCCACAACCACAGCAAGTTTCTTCTGCTGTGAAGTTGAAGCTGTCAGGGGTACCCCAGAAAGTGCTGGTGGGAGCCCTAGGGCAGACTGACACTTCCCCACCTGCCTCAGAGGCAATGCCTTCCATGGACAGAGCACTTCCTCCACCCTCCAGACCCACTGGGCATGGCAGGCTGGGAGGGGGGTGCTGGGGCTGTACCCTTTGGGGTGGGGCCTGCTGCTGCCCCAGAGGAACACTGTCCTGTCCAAATGCACTCAGGAGTCTCAGCTTGGGAATGGTCCTGCTACACACTGAAATCCGTCCACCCCAGATTCCTAGGATGAAGGTTTAGCTGCAGTGTGACCATATCTGTTGATGGGGGGGTGAGACTCTGTGGGTGTTGGGGTGGTGTCAGCAGACAGAAGATTATACTGTATAGTACAGGAGACTGTGCAGTACAGGAGATGGAACCCACCTCAAGGCCGGGAACCTGCTACCCAAGCACTCTTACCACTAAGCTGTATTCCCAGCCCTTTTAAATTGTATTTTGAAATAGGGTCTTGTATATAGTCCAGGTTGCCCTCAAACTTGCAATCCTCCAGCCTCAGCCTCCCAAGTGGCAGGGATTACAGGTCCCTGGTTTGTTAATGAAGACTTTAATGAAAGTTAAAAGAAATCTGAAGTCAGGGTGGGGTCCAACCTCATCGGACTGTGGCCTTCCCCTGGCCTGTGGGGACAAGTGAGGAGGAGACCCTCACCATGCTGCCACCTGACCTTGGACTTCAGCTTCAAGTGTGAGAAAGAATTTCTTTGTGTAGGACAGCTGGTCTGTGGTTCTCCGTTCCCAAGCTAACACAGCACCTAAGCCGGGTGCATCTTCTGGGCTCCGGAAGGCCTAGTCCTAGCAACAGTCCCAGCAGGATGAGGGTCCCGGGGCAGATTCATCAGTGCTGAGGCGGCGCCTGGGAGGGGAGCTGTTTATGTTACAATCTGAAGGCTGCCAGAGACCGCAAAATAAATAGAAAGGACTGGGTCTGGCAGGGAGCCAGACCCCAACAGGATTTGGGTTGTCACGGGCCCTGGTCACCCAAACAGGAAGTCTTGTGAACAGCTGGGCGTTGAGGAACCTGAGGTTTCCGGGCGGGGAGAGCTTGGGCAGAAGTGGGCCGGTAGTGGCAGCCACTGCAGTTGGGCCACAGCCCTCTCGGCTCTGCAAAGGGAAGGCCAGCTACAGGGGTAGAGCCCAGGGTATCCCAGCCACGCGTCCTAGTCCCTCCTGGGGGACCTGTGGCCCAAGAGCTCTGCAGAGCCGCTCAGCACGCCAACCAGGGGGTCCACAGGGTGGCTCTGGCTGCTCTGAGGACCGGCAGGGGTGACAGGTCAGACCAGGAGTGGGCCGAAGTGGGAGCTCTGAGGGCCAGGTCGACTCCTCGGGGCCCCGCCGCAAGCCCTAAGGGGCCAGCACCTAGCATCTGCGGGCAACGGCGAGGGG